TTCCTCTCACATACACACGCACACAGATAATGAATTGACCTCTATTTCAATACTTTGAGCTTGAGAAATCAATTACTAAGTGAAAACCTTTACCTCTAACCCGCAAAAGAAAAGTAAATCCAATCCTATTGTTATTCAAGAAAGGTTTTCCGACTTATTGTTTTTTATTTTAGCTTTCTTTTCAAATCTTTGTAAAAGATTACTTATAGAGAAAGGAAATTTTACCTAGATCTGTATAAAATGAGTTAGAGAATTAGAAACGATGGGTTAATGGTTAATGTATGGTTATGAAGAGGTCAATATAGTCGATGAAAGAGGGTTAAATGGGAGTTTGAGATTAATAAATGTGTTATTACGTGTTGAGTTGAGCGAAAGATATGAAATTTGATGTAAAATTAGATATGAAAGCTAGGTATTTATTAAGGTTATTTTAGTGCAATATTTTAAAAAAATAACTTCAATTTTACATTCACCTTACAAAAAATTAATAATTATCAATAAATATAAGAAATCTAACCTAATTACTACCACGTGATGTGGTATATATTCTATTAACACTACGTTTAAAACCATCCTTTCAAACCCATAGAAATCCTAACACATGTTCATTCTTTGTATCCCTTTTTTAAATCCCCATTAAACCCGTTATTAAAACGATTTTCAAGTGAAACTTTAACATTTCTGTTTGACCATATGGGTTTTCAATAGAATTTTCTCAACAACAATTTTTGATCCCATTTTGCAAGAAATTTTATAATTTCTTCATTTGTAAAATTTAATATTAAAAAATAAAAGGATTGTAGAAAGCAGAAAACTCGTCTCTAATAAAACGTATAAACGAGTCACGCATTTGCTCAAGAAAAAACTTTTCCTTTATAAAACGGCGCGTTTACTCGCACTGTCAACCTTTGTGATCACTATCATTTTAGGTTTAAACTATTTTAAGCGACCCCGAAGACAAGTTTCTAGATTAGTTTCTGATTTCTTTAAAATTATAGTTTGATTCGACGTGAGGAGAAATTAAATAGTGATCTAACTTTACAGAAAGTTTCATCTTTTTTAAGTTTTCATTAAAAATATTATCTTAATTGGCATACATTACTACAACTAATTAATAAATATTGTATTATATTCACGCAAATGTTTAATAAATGTATAATAATACATACATCAACACTATTTAATTTAATAATAGCACCAATTGTTCTTTAATAATTATGTATCTGAGCTTAACAACACAATTATTAGTATTTGCCAGTTGCAATGCAGAACAAACTGCTGTTAGCACAACAAACTGAGTTGAGTACAATCCTTCACTTGCAGCAACGTTAATTGTGTACTTGCATACAGTACAGTATCCCTCTTCTTACGTAATTTACCACCTCGGTTCTTAAACGTATACTTCGTCACCAAGTGTATGTAAAGTTTTTCAAATCAAGAGTAGTTTGGAAACTCTTTATTATAACTCCTTTTGATTGTCATCCTGTTTCAATCTGTGCTTTACATCTTGGAAATTAGTGAAGTCTTTTATGTAAAAAAAAAATAGTTCATAAGGATGCATAAACGAGTACCAGAAAGGATTCGAAAAATCTGTGCAGACGGAATATTAAACAAAAATAATAAGCCACCATAGCAAATTGGTACATTGATGTAGCTAAATATGAGATCCTACACACAAATCCTAAAAGTGACGATTTGGGTGGATAAAAGTCGATATATTTTATGATTACATATTAAATGGATTATATGATTTCAGGTATGTCAAGAACCCTAATCTGGTATGTGTTAAGATATCACATTTAACAAGGTACGCGATACTTTAGGGCAGCTTAATGCGCGAATGTGCTGATGGAACACTTCTGTCACCTTCTACGTTATCTGTAATAATCAATGGTACCACATATAGAAGAAAAGGGCGTTATACATATAGAAAATATGCTGAAATGAAGTGGAGACACAGAAATGCAGTGCCAGTTCGCATTATTCTTTCTGCCTATAAGGAAACTATCACAATGCCTCTGGCATTACAAACCAAATATTCCTAGTATCAATGAACATGATACTAACCCATATTAATCAGAAAACCTACACTATAACTGTAATGATTGGTAAAAAAACTATAGCAAAAATAATGTTAGCGTCAAAAATTTCTTGAGAATGTGTTAGATAGTCAGTTGAAGATGTTAATGAGTTTATGTCTTATTTTGTCAACTGAACGGATAGTTGTATGTACAGAAACCGTACTAATCCATGCATTTCTACAATTCCATGTAAATAGTTGCTATTTTCTAACCAATACAAAGCATCTATGCAAATGGTTTGCTTTTTCCGGAAAGGCAACTTAATTATTGGGAATGAACAAGTATTTTTGAAAGAATAAATTAAAGATCTACTAATGACGTTCGTGCACTCTTCAACTTTCCAGATTGGTTTACGCAATCCACTTACATTTAATCTCTCAGATAATATTGATCGGAAAATATTTCACATAAAGATCCTGGAGTCGCGGATTCATCTGTGATCTGACAGTGAAATTTTGTCCGAAACTCTTTAGCTATGTATCGAAAAAGAGATATCCATTGAAACTAAAGTGATATCGATAATCGATTGACCTTCAGCAGCATAAAAGATCTACTCTGAGCCTTCGTTAAGTATATTCAAATTCTAAAACATCTACGAGATTTTAAAGAGATGTGCCAAAATCGTGAATTAGCTCCATCTGTTTCATCTGCCATTTACCTCTTTTACGCTCCAGTACTCGACAACGTAAGCCGCAGATGCTCTTTCCCTCACATTTCTCTTTCTTTTTGTCTTCACAGATCTGTTCCTTGCCTTCGGCTTATCCCGTAGCAGATGTGGATACGGCTTCAGGTTTAGAGGCTAAGATACCTGAACTCATCCCCTTTTTTAAACACTGTGTAGTGTCAATATAGTGTTTCCCCCGATAATCATAAACGTCCAATACTTGAACAGCTCAAGAAAAGCTGTCACAAGTTTCGATCAACACCAAGTCAGAAATTTCTGTTATTATCAGGAAGAAGTATTCTGTTCGTGTATCAACAACAAAAAGGCCCTCTCCTTGGCACTCGAAACGTCGAACAATATTTTAATAGCTTATAGCTATTAGAGCTTAGCTCATAATCCGGAAGTTTCTAGTTTTATTTCTAATCTAGAGGTATTTTTCATACGATTTAACATGAAGATACTTCTCTTCTAGAATTATGCAAATATATGCTTTCTATTCAACAAAACCTATTGTACTGTATGAGTTCGAAAGCCTTCACAGTCGATGTTATTAGAATTAAAACTAAAAACTCCGGGTTATGGCGTGCTTCTATTAAAATATTGTTCAATGTTTTGGATACCGCGTTGCAACCTTCTTCAGTTGCACCTTCAGTACTTGCAGTACGGTGCTGAAACGGGAAAAGGGTATATTGCATTCAAGCCGACGACGACGACCAAGGAACAATGAAACCGATGAAGTTGATAAAGATAAGAATGAAGTCGAAGAAGTTATATGAAGAAAGTGAAGAATCAAGCCGTGAAAAAGAAGAAAAAGAAACAAAAGATGGTACTGATGATGAAAAAAACGTCGATAAGAAACATTTCCATGCTATCCATTCAACGAAATCGACTTTTGCCTTATCGTTTCGTAATATAGAAGATTCTTTAAATACATTTTCTGGCGAAGATAAAATGCAGGTAATTGTTGAAGAAATGGCTGTAATGATGGAATAGAATGATTTACAACTGTTTTTATATGCTTAAAAGTCATTAACTCGTTTAGCAAAATTGTTTATCAAGAGTGAGAGAGGAATAACTTCATGGTACAAATTGAAAAAAGGTTTGAAGAGTGAGTATTCCAAAAAGATTAGTACTGCAGGTTGCAACATGGCACTCGAAACTTCGAACAATATTTTAATAGTGTCACTACATAACCCGGATGTTTCTAGTTTTATTTCTAATCCAGAAGTATTTTGCATGCGTTTTAAGATAATTCCAGGACACTTAATTATATGCTTTCTATTTAACAAATCCTAAGTATATAATTCTATTTATAAGCGTTTTTCGAAACCGATAGATGGCGGAGATTTTGCAAATGTTCTAAATCTACCGGTGCCATATAAAAATAAGAGAAAGTACAATGCACAATATAGGCAGTATACAGTTAACTAAGAGGAAGTATTTCAATCTCAATTGTTTTATAGTTCTTTTTTAAAACGGTGAATTCGTATTTTTTCGTTATTGTTTTATTAAGATCGTTTTTACTTACTATTTAAATACAGCAAATTCTTTTCTTTGTACCGCTCGATAATCGTTTTTACCTTTCCTGTTTATACATTTTGATCAATTTTCAGCAGTTAAAACGGGTTGATATCGATATGTCTTATTTTCCTATAAGATAACTATTAACAATGAATGAATGAACAGTTTGTCTTCATAAACTATCAAATACGACATTAGTTAGCAGTTAAATTATTGTACCTAGTAAATTATGATCCTTATAAATTTCAGATTCTCGTTAAAGACTTTTCGAACACAACTTTAACCGTGCCAATGTGCAAATTAGGAATGCTTCTTAGGAATATTTATTCATGGTACGTAAAGGTTAAGTGGTCTTTCTAATACCTGTGCCATTTTCAGTTATTTCCCATTTTTTCTACTGGTTCATGACTAAACAACTAATATTTCAATTGACATAGAAATCTAAAATTCTTATAAACAAATGGAACATATTTTATTTGATTAATAACTTAAACACAACCTTTTCTCATTTTTTTAAGATCCTCAAAAAAACTCTTAGAACAAGATTGTTTTATCTTCAGTCTTTAAGTAGGAATTTCTTACTAACAAGATTATACCAACCTGTTTAAAAGAACGAGATAACACATTTAAGATAAATAACATTGTTCTTTTTTTTTCAAAACCAGGTAAATTTTTCTAAAGTCCAGGTAGATTAAATAACCTTCACAAAAAAAACTCTTCATTTACTCGCCAAAATGCATTCGGTGAACATCTCCTTATTTTTTGCTGCATTTTCATTTATAGTTAACATAAATGCAAGGAATGTAAACGAAGAAAAACCAAGATTGTTCGGATATAGTTATACAACAACCGTTATTAAACCGCACATTATTACATCTTTCATACCATCTTCTTGCGTTCAAGTTGATGCTACATTACCACCATGCAGAATTATGAGAAGTTTTTCAAGTTTTCCAAGTTTAGAGAAATCTCGATCATTAACTAGGTAAGAAAATAATATAAAAAATATTTGTTAAACTTGTTTATTTTAATTTAGTTCTTTAAATACAACCATCATGACCCCTAAAGAAGATAAAGTACAAACCACCCCATTATCTTGGGGTGAATACTTAGGAATTTATGCTCCAACGGTTACCGTTACGTCAACTCAAGTAATTATAACAACCGTAGTAGATCCAGGAGTACAAGTTACTTATGCTATTAAAGGTTGTAAACCAAAAGTTTTACCAGCAGGATTGGAAAGGTGTGCTTTATCAAATGAAGAAGAAAATAAAGTTGAAATAAAACCAACTAAAATTATTGAAATTCAAAAAACCTCAACTTTACAATCGAATATAAATGAAAATTATAATCAAAGTATTCCTTTAAACACCACAGCGATAACTAGCGATTTTTTTAATGGTACAACTTCAACTTCTTTAGATTTAGAAAGTAGCAACTTTGAAAATGAAGATTTGTTAACCGTAGCAACTCCAATTGATGGATTAGAAGAGATTGGAACTACACCTATCCCTTAAATTTAATCATTATTTTATAATAAAAAGCGTTTCATTTTGAAAATAAAATTAATTTAAAAATTTATTTGTTGTTTTGAATTTTGAATTCGACGCCAACGCCATCACTACTCAAATAGCATAATTATTCATTTGACCTTTTTAAACGTCACATTTCTTTCAAAATTTTAATTTGAAATTTCACGAAAATGATTAACATAAAAAACTAAAAAAAGATCATCTCACGGAACTTTCATCAAGAAAATGAAGAAGCACTTTATTATCCAAGTTATACCTAAACATTTGGATTATTTATCGATCGAAGTCTGAACAACAAAGTGGATAACTTCATTCTATTGACGAAACGTCAAAAGGCTGTCAAATTTGTTAAACGTAGTGGTTTTTAACAGGTGCTTGTTAATGATTTTGCATAAAATTATGCACAGGATAATTTTCTCGTAGGTTTATATTGGTTATTTATAAGCTACGTAAGTAACAATTAATAAAATGTCGATTAAAGCGGTTTTGGATAGTATGTTTTCACCGAGATTAATTAAAATTTATGGAAATGGACCAGCTGAGGTAAGTAAACCACTTAAAAAATGTGATAGAAATTGATTTATTTTGGGTCATTTTTAGAGACTCTATGAACCTAATGCGTTTGAAAAATGGGGTGACCAAGTTATACAATCCGTAAGTTTATGAAATAATTTAAAGCAGCATAACATTTTTAGTATAAACTCATTTCTAGTTATATATCATCTGGAAAATCAGTGTTTATTCATCACCTTTTCTTACAACGTACTTATATAGAAAGGGATACTTTGTAGCGGACGGTTTATTAACTTTATCAAAGTTTGTCACTAGTTTAGGTGTTATTTTGGTTGTTTCATTTTGTATACGAGGTGTGGGAAGATATCAAAATGCTACTTATCAAAAATTCGTTAAAACTTTAAGTGACAGTCAAAAATCGCTTACACCTGCCAATAAACAACAACTTTCAGCATACGATTTTGAATTTTTTGGTTGGCCTGTTGAATTTAAGTGGTCTGATATACAAGGGTAAGAGTTTATTTATTAAATTAATTAATTTAATATTTTATTATTTGCAGTGAATCTACAAAACCTCGGTTATACATCACACGACCAGTAACTCATCGAACAGCTTTTCAATTCGTTAGTTCTTTACCATGCCATATCTTAGGTTACTTAGCTGTCCATTCTTTTGGTATTAGATTAGTTTATCCGGGTTCTTTGAGCCTGTTACAAACAATTTTGGGTAAATTAACAAAAATATTATAGAGGCCATTTAATTGTTAATATTTATTTAAATTATTTTTGATAGCTCAAGGCTTACTTCAAGGTCGTTCAAAACTTGTTGAAGTAAACGCTGCGAAACGATATAAATTATTGGCACGCGATGGAAACGAAATCGATTCTATGTTTGTTGATAAAAGAGGTTTGTCACATAATGGTTCAACTTTGGTGATTTGTTGCGAAGGAAATGCTGGGTTTTACGAAGTTGGAGTTATGGGAACTCCAATAGAAGCAGGTTATTCTGTTTTGGGGTGGAATCATCCTGGATTTGCTGGAAGCACTGTAATTAAACTCTAAAACACACCAAATTAACTCTTTAAAGCACAAATTATTTAATGAAAACTAAATTAATTTCAAACTTCAATTAATTCTAAGACTACTTTGAAGATTGGGGTTTAAATGAATTTTCTTTGATGTTTGGATTTTTTTGATGAGTATTGTATCAAAATGATTTAATGTAGCTCTATTTATTGGGCGTGAAATTTGTAGTTATCTTACTTTAACATTTCTATATAATTTGTGGAATATTCACTATAAAGTGGTGAACAAACAAAAACTAAATTTTCTTGCATCATTCACCAATTCATCGTCTGTCAGCGGTTTTTTGAATCAACCTGTATAAACTTGCAAATTCTCCTCTCAGTGCGCCTTTTCTTCCATGCTTCATGCACCCACTTTCGGTTCTTCGCCTGGTGCAGCTTCTGCTCTGTATCACCCAAAATTTATGTCTATTTTTCTCATTAGTAATTGACTAAAATTCATTTGTATAAAGTAAAATGAAAATGAATAACTTTATTAAGTGTCTAAATATTTTACTGAAAAAAACAAAATGTTTTAAACATGCGAATTGATGATAATACAAAAATCAATCAAATTATGGAAGTTGTAGAACAAGCTTTGTTATTAACTCCTTTTGTCTTTCAACAACTACACATTGGAATCTAACACAGCTGCTTCTGTACTTTCTTGTTCAATAAAGTCAATGGAGTATAATACTCAGTGTTAGTGTTATAACTACTAAACTGGTGCAACCATGATTCATCTATTTGGGGAATGTGGGACTCACCCTTGGGATACTACTCTAATCTTAGGATGCTATTTATGTTACAACAACTGACTACATTAATACCCGTCTCACACTGAGAGGTAGTAATGTATCAATCTGCGCGTAAATATCAATCTGAAGTATCAATTAACGTTGAATATTGTGTAAATTTGATACAAAGCCCTTGAAACGACAAGATTATTATTGATATAAACAAGAATGAAATCCAGTTCCTGCAGCACCTCGTTCTTTAAATGTCAAGTTTTCCATCATACCTGACGTTTTTTTTTTGGACATGTTATTAGAATGTAACTTAATCCTATATGCCAATGTTTTGTTAAATTTTCTCTGTGGCTGTTGCTGGGTTGATATCATACTAACTTTACAAATATGTTAAACAGAATATGCTATGATATTCTTTTAAAAAACTATGAAGATCTTACATCTCTTGACTACAAACCGTTACAATTAGTATCGTAATAATTATTGCTCTTCATTAAATGATATTACTTCCGGTGTAGTTCACAGTAGGTTTCTGGCGCAGTTTTTTTTGTATTTATTTATTTTATTTAGCGTATGGCATACATAAGATACACAATACAAGAGTAGCCATTCTAGAGCTGCGCGTTTAGCATCAAAGAAGTCTCTCACAGCATGAGGATAAGATCTAATAGGGCAGTCTCCCACAATGTGCTGGATAGATTGTTTTAGACTGCTCCATTTCTGGAGGTTATCACCACAGACTCCCTCACGGACGTACTCTGTTGAGGCGCTTTCATAGGTGGCGGGGAAGTCCAAATCCTTTTGGTTTTTAGTTGCCTCGCTAACTGTGGTTTATTCCTGGTGGTGCTTTGGCATTCCATTCTTTGGCTTTGGTATTTTCCCCGCTCAACGTTTTTGTGTTATGTATTTGGAGAAATCTTGGTGCTGCAACGTTATGTTATTAAAACTGACCTAGAGTCTCCTGGATGCCATTTTATTATTCAGGTGGAAGGCACCCCTGTCTTTTTTAGGTTAGGTGTTAGTCTGCACTTACACAACTACTTCCCCTTAGCTCTCAGGTCATTAGAGAGGATGTATGTGCTATACAATGCTGCCCAAAAGGAGCGGATAAATTCGTTAAAACAATTATAAACTGTTTATGGAAAAATCGCTGAGACGGGTCTAAAGATTTAATTTTTTTGCAATTATTTGGTATAGATTTTAAATTTGTTGCAATTTTTTGGTATAGAGATTACATTCATTTTTCAAATAGCAATCCCCCATTTTTATTAGGGAATATGAAAGGGGATTATTTTCTGCATTTGGTGCAGCCAAAATTAATATTAGCCACATAAGAAAATTTTCGAGAAAAATTGCCGTTTCATGATTTTCCATTCATTTGAGGTAGAAAAAGAGCAGTAACCATGCGTGACCATGGTAACCAGTTGCTTCAGATATTTTATTAAGACAATGAGTAATTTTTGATATCTGAAACAGTTGGTTGCCATGGTTACGCATGGCTACTGCTATTTTTCTATCTCAAATGAATGAAAAATAATGAAACTTTAAAATAATTTTTCTCGAAAATTTTCTTATATTAGTATTATATATATATACTCTTCAACTTTTAAAATTCGGTATCTTAGTTAAAAATTGGAATACATGCGAGAAATAAATCAAAATAGTGTTTCTTAGGTCTTGTTGCATATATTCCATTTTATTTGTGTAAGTATTTTAAAACACAAAAAAAAATTCAAAAGTAAATCAATTTCCCCATTGATGGCCACCAAAACCGCTATTATGGTCATAAAAGTATCCACTTACGGCCACCATAATTAGTTTGCGTAGAAATTAAACGCAATTAAGTACAATTTTTAGATTTTATTAGGCACATAGATACAACAAAAGTTAAGGAGATGAATACATTTAGTGTTTTTCAAATACGTCTACAGCATTGCCGAAAACAATCGTCATATTTCGACCAACATTTTTCAGTTCGTGTTCTGGAAGCGTTCCTTTGTAATGTGTACATTTATTATTGTCTAACACTTTGAAATGTGTCTTAGTCTGATCTAAGCTTTTTAGACATTGTACTTCAAACTCATCGTCATCCAACACGCATAACATTTTTGCAACATACTTGTAATGGACCTTAGCTCATTTCCCAACGCTCTTAAATGAAGCCAAAACGTAATCACCTTCCTGCAGTTCTGTAACTCCATACATATCAATTATTTCTTGATTTTTTGTCTCAATATCGTCTAAACTGCTCCCGCTTTCATTCCACACTTCTTCCTTCTCTTCTAAACAGTTTTCCTTTGTCTTCTTCATCTTCTTTACCTTCTGCGCTTCTTCTACTTTATTTTTCTGAATTTCCCTTTTTTTCTTTCTCTCAATTTTCAGCTCTTCTTGAATTTTCTTCTCATATGAATGTATTTAAATACATTCATATCTAAGCGCGCGTCAGATTTTTGTCATGTGATCGGGGCCTTAATGGAGAGTACTGGAACCGTTTCTGTTTATTTTTCTCAGCCATGGTAACAGAGTCTTGTAAATAAAACAAATAAAACAGAGTTGTTCAAAATCCATTAAAGCATCAAATTCAACAGAATGGCATAACTGGGTTTACGCTAGTTCACTTATGGCCACGTCATGGCTATAACTGGCAAACTTCACTCTTATGGCCACGTAATCAAAAACACGCATAATATTATTAAATACTTTGAAACTAACGTATTTGTGATCATATAGTTCATAGGCTCGCTTAAATATGAAACGACGCTAAAGATAATAAAAGATTAAATAATGTTCATTGCTCTTACCGTTTTTGCTAAGATTTTCGTGCCCAACACATCAACTAAAACATGGAAACCTTTTTCAAATTGTTTCAATATCGGAATCGCTGTGTCTGTGTTGAATTAGGGTCTGACAGAGTCCTGTAATGCTCTTACTTTTCAAGTACTGTCTATTAGGATCTTAATGCGTAACAACTTTATCTGAAGTGGCCATAAATGGTACAGTGGCCATAAACGGTGCTCCTACCCTAATCAATATTAATATTGATTATACTAGATTCAGAGAAAAGTCCTCTTTCATATTCTGTAATAGAAATAGGGCATTGCTATTTGAAAAATATATCGATGACGTCATTACTCGTTTAAAAATGGCGGAAAAAAATTAAAATCTATACCAAATAATTGCAAAAAATTTAAATCTTTAGATCCGTCTCAGCGATTTTGCCATAAACTGTTTTTAATGGTTTTACCGAATTTATCGGTTACGTTTAGGAAACCCTGTATAATCGGCATAGATAAATTTTGTTGCCCTTGTGGTTGGTAGATCCAATGTGATAAATTAAGATTAAAAAATATGGGCGCAAGAACTAAGCCTTGCAGGACTCCGTTGTTTAGTTCTTCTTTTGCTGATTTTGTTTCCCAGCGTAACGATAAGTTACATAATGATCTGGCATGACAGTATTCGTAAGTCTAGAATGGCCATGGATGATTTGAGGTATCTTTGAAAGCCTGCTACGGATGTGTGTAGTAAGGCTAAGTACTTGGTCGATGCAACTTTTTCCAAGCTTGTGTTCTCCAAAAGCATCCCTGTTCATCTTGGGCCACTCTTAGCTCATTTATTATAAATTCTTTTGAAAACTGGGAGCTGTTAGGTGTATTTTGCCACAAGTTTTTAAGTAATTTTTTTAACTGTCTTTGTACGTTGTGGGTCGCGATGAGCTCTGAATAGTGATATTATTCTACTTGCAATTTCGTTTGGAGTCACAAGTGGGACTTTACGTGCAACAAGGCTACTCTCGCTCAGCTTCTTCAAAAGCCTCTGCTTAAATTTTGAAAATCCAGTGATTGGGTAGTTTCCATTCACTCCATTTTATTTTATATTAATGTTTCACGTACTAATATCATAGTTTTTCTTCATGCATTGGTTACGTGTTACATACAGTTATTTAATTACTATTCTGGTTTGGACATATTCCACCACTGTGCTTTAATTGAAATCTGTACTTTATATCATTAACAAAATAACTAATCTCATCAATAGAAATATCAAAAAGACTATTATTCAAGAGTGCAATAAAGAGTTAATAATTTCCTTTTATTTTTTCATCATTTTCTCAATTATAATCATTTGTTTTAAGGGTACACCATATCCTTCACAAGAACAAAACGCTATAGATATAGTTGTTCAATTTGCTATACATAAATTAGGATTTAACCCTGAAAATATAATTTTATTTGGATGGAGTATTGGTGGTTATACATCCAGTTGGGCTGCAATGAATTATCCTGATATTAAAGGAGTGGTTCTTGATGCATCTTTTGATGATATTCTTCCGCTTGCGGTTAATCACATGCCACGTTGGGCGGAATCTGTCGTACGAACCGCGATTAGAGAATATATTAATCTAAACAATTTTGAGCAGTTAACAAAGTATTCCGGTCCTATTTTATTGTATCGAAGAACAAGAGATGAGGTCATGTGCATTTCCGAGGATGATATTAGTTCAAATCGTGGCAATAATTTGTTATTGAAATTACTGAAATACCGATATCCGTTAATAATTGGAGACGTTCAAATTAAAGTTCTTAAAGAATATCTTTCATTAGTTGGACATTCTCAAGGTAAAGAAATATTTTTGATTAAAACGATAATAATTTTAATTTTTTTAGAACAATTTTTGCATAGATATCTTTCTCAACCGGATGTTTGTAAATCTCTGCTTGAAAGTTACATTTCAGAACATTCAAACTCATATCCAATGAGAATTGGCGACGATATGGATACAGAGAAGAAAAACCAAATGTCGTTGTATTTAGCCACAAAGTATATGAAAGATTACAAGTCGACTCATTGTACTCCATTACCTGCTGATATATTTGAAATGCCCTGGGAGGCGAATATCGAAACAGATTATGTATTTACTTAGATAAAATCCGGGTTAGGAGCAATTTTTTTAATCCTATCCTTTTTTTTCTTTCCTATAGCAAATCACTGGAATTCGGGCTCGCTTGTAGTTTCCGCGTTTATCTAGGGTCTATCTACCACGGGAGGAAAAAAACTTTCAAAAACAATCCCCCATTTTTTTTTTGAATGAACGTTTCTAAATACTTTTAAGTAGATGTATTTATTTTGGAAAAAAAAGAAATAATGGCTTTGAAAAAATAATGAATAAAAAGATTAATAATTATGGAGATATGTATGGAGTTTATGGAATAATAAAGAAATAATTTAATAACACCCTAAGAAACAAGCTTTATTTAATTTCTCACAATTTATTTTTTTTATTTATAAAATTAAGAACAGTATTTATAAAATCCTCAGATGAAGCTCTTTCTTCCAGAGCAAGGCATTCCCTTAAATTTGATTCATGAAACCATTGTCTATAATTATCAACAATTAATTTTTTATTGATTTTAACAGCATTAATTGGTAAATCTCCGTATTGGTGTAAATCTTCAATTAAAACGTCAAGTTGATCGTGTGGAAAGACTTTAGAGACTAAACCAAATCTTTCAGCTTCGTGAGCGTTAATTTTTTTCATTAAAAGAATCATTTCACTCGCCCTACTTCTACCTATGGTTAACGGAAAATGAAGACTAGAACATCCTTCGCAACACAAACCCAATCGTAGAAAGGGAGTATCAAATGTTGCTTTATCTGAAGCGTAAACAATGTCACATAACCCAACTAATGTGGCCCCAATTCCAATTGCTGGTCCGTTTACTACCGCTATAATAATTTTTGGGTAGTCAATAAAAGCTTTGACAAAGTTTTTAAAAGCTTCATGACCAACTTCTGGCATTTGTGGGTTTGACGAATTTTCCATTATTGCTTTAAAGTCATTACCACTTGTGAAATATTCACCAACCCCAGTTATTATTGTTACAATTATTTTATCATCTTCAGCGTCTTCTTTAAAAATTCTTGTCATTTCTAAAAACACTTTATAAGAAACAGCATTTTTTCTTGATGGTATGTTGAATTTGATGGTTCTAACACCAGTTTTATAAGAAATTAATAATCTATCCATGATACAACATTGAGTTAACAATAAAACTGAAGCATTTATAGAAACATTTTAAATATATGTATTTGTGATGTTAAAATAGCCAAGTCATTCATCTTATCAGCTTCATTATCGCTGTTGTTGCTTTTATTTATCATTTTAGTGGTTCTACACGCAATTTATACACTTTTTAGTGAATATTTTTATTTCCAATGTCAAAGTTAACGCTAATCTAAGCGATAAATTAAATTAATAAATTTAAACAACTAATAAAATGTTATTGATATTTTATTGATAAAAAAACTATATTAAAAAACTTTTACATTTTACTTTTCTTATTCATAAAACTTATAACACTATTCATAAAATCTTCAGAAGCAGCTCTTTCCTCAAGAGCAGTACATTCTCTTAAATTAGAATCATGGAACCATTGCCTATAATTATCAACAATTAATTTCTTATTAATTTTAACAGCATTAAGTGGCAAATCCCCATATTGGTGTAATTCTTCAATGAAAGAATCAAGTTGTTCATGAGGAATCACTTTTGAAACCAACCCAAATTTCTCAGCTTCTTGAGCAGTTATCTTCTTTGCCAACAATAACATTTCACTAGCTCTACTTCTACCCATTGTTAAAGGAAAATGAAGGCTGGAAGCCCCTTCACAGCATAATCCCAAACGTAAAAATGGAGCATGGAATGTAGCTTTATCAGAAGCATAAGCAATATCACATAATCCTAAAAGAGTGGCTCCAATTCCAACAGCTGGCCCATTTACTACTCCTATAATAATCTTTGGATAGTCAATAAATGCTTTGATGAAGTTTTTGAATGCTTGATGTGCTACTTCCGGCATTCCATCTTCGGAGGCGTATTCCATGATAGCTTTAAAATCATTTCCGCTGGTGAAATATTCTCCAAATCCGGTTATAATTGTTACTATTATTTTATCGTTTTCTGCGTCTTCGTTGAAAATTTTACCTAATTCCTTGTAAACTTTATGGGAAACAGCATTTTTTCTTGATGGCATGTTAAACTTAATGGTTCTCACACCATTTTTAAAGGATATTAATAATCTGTCCATTATTACTTTTGTGTTGAATCTTAAATGAATAGAACTACACTGAAATTCAGTTAGATGGGTTGCTAAGTTATAATTGAACTAAGATTTCAAAAATAGTCGAGTCACTTATCTTATTATTGTTATTATCTATAAGACTTATTAATTAAAAACATTCTGGAAAAACATAACCTACGTAAGATGCTGTATGGTTAGTTGCGTGATGATTTAATTTTTTTAATATAAAATTTTATTCAATTTTAAATTTGTTAGAATTATAAAAAATGATGTTAAAATGTTTTCAAATATATAATAATTTAATTTTTTAAATCTTTATTTAATTATAAAATATTAATAATTAAGTAGTTATAGCGCCATCTATTATAAGAGCCACAAGTAAGAAAATTAAATAAATAGTTCTTTGAAATGAAACTATACTTATACATAAAAACATTTTTAAACATTGTATTTTTAATTAAAAAAATAGAGTATTTCACAAATAACAAAATTTATAAATACAAAGTTTAAATAATCAAAATTGATTTACGAGTCCATCTATGTTTAACGTAATGAATTAAAACTAACAACATTTTGACAATTTTGACACTAATTCTAACCACAAAATATTGAAAATTTTAACATATTTAAGAAAAATGATTAGACAAACTTCAATAGATTATAGTAAATTATTCGATGTGAAATTAGAAGAAAAGGTATTTAAATCAACGTTTTAATGTTTTTAATAACTTTTCATTTTAGTTAAAACCTATCGATCAAACGATTGATAACATGTTAACTCGTTTGGAGGAATGCGAAACAATGATCGCTTTGGTACAACAAGAACGATGTAATTCTGTTGGTTTAACTGGTTCTTTATCTCAAGCTGTAGATAATCGAGCTGAATTAAAAGAAATGTACAAAAAAATCAATGCTTTAGAGAAATTGGTCGATCATGTTAATAATAATGTTGAGACATTAGAAAGAAAAATGGATGAAGCTGAAAAACATTTTGGGATTAGTGATAGTATGTTAAAAAGTTTTTTTGGGCCAATTTTTGTAAGTTGGAATGAAATTAAAATGTTAAAAATATTAAAATGATTTTTTTTTAGAAAAAAGTTGGTGATGCACCTGAAGGAAGTGCTTCAAGTAGTGGTAGTAGAGATGTATTTAGTACTGAGGATTATTTTAATGTTGCTGATCAAAGCCAAGAGGAGGGTGGGCCAAGTGAGGCATAAAATGCTTAATAGATATTATAATAATGTGTATATAAATAATATAAATTAGTTAGTTCTTCTAGTTATATGCTAGATAAAGAAACCTACCTTTTTACATTTATTGTGATAATGAGAAAAATAAAGTATTTCCAAAATATGTGCTATTTGGGTGTATGGTGTGATATACTTTATAACCTTTAACATTTATGTAGTATTGTTCAACTTTTCTGATATCTAGAACTGTTTGCAACTCTTTCTGATAGTGTGACAGCCCATTTGCATTCCATTCTGTTATTTATCTTTTTATTACATCGCTGTATTTTTTGTTCCTTTTTCAGATAGACCATAGCTTCCTGGCATCTTTTGTACTGTGGTACCAGTTTAAAACTTCTTAGTGGTTGAGTTTCTACCCTTACCTTGTCGACTTCTTACAAGCCTTTGACCGCGTCTGACATGTATTGTGGCGCTAATTCTATAGCTGTAAGGTCTGCTCATCAACCATGAGTGGTTGATACAAATTATCCCTGGATTGGAACAGATAATATTACAACTTGAAAAAGCCATATAAAATACAAGGTCGCCAAGAGTTAATATATTGAAAAAATAAAATATGGAAGAAACAGATAAAATACAATATCTTACTAATGAAGAATTAGCGACAGAAACGTAAAATGTCTCATTAACTCCTCCCTCCCCCACAAAAAGCAACAACTGAATGATAAATGAAAAAAACAAAAGGTTTTAAATATGTGGTATTAACTGCTATGAATGTTATGAGTCAATGCAGAGCTCTAAGAGAGAGACTAAATACAGATAAACTTTCGTATTACTGGTACAAGAAAAACCAATCAGAATGATTGACGGTTTACTTTAGGAAATAATGAGAGATTTGCAAAGAAGAGGATATAAAACCATTCAGTCGATAAGAAATTGGAATGAAGAACTTGAAAATGGATGAACTACCTGTAGATATATTCATCCTAAAGTTTAGTCAGGAGGAAGATCTAAATAGAATATGTGGCATAACTGACATACTGAACAACAACCGGCGAGACGATAGCAACAAACCGCCCAGCAACAAACTTTTTCCTTTATATTTCCACCTACTTCTAGGGTCCACATCTTTGTTATTTAGAAAGATAGCGAAAAACTAAGCACACGGTTGGAAAGCTTGGTCTTTTCTCTATCTTAAACCGAGTTTTCGTCCGCCGATATNAAAAAGAAAAACTAATAAAAAAAGGTAAAATGTCTCATTAACTCCTCCCTCCCCTACAAAAAGCAACATTGAATTAGTATCTTACTAATAATGTTTATGGAAAACTTAAACCTATCATATATTTATATTTTAGCCACTACAGTTTGAAAGGATTTTGTGAAGTTATGAAATACAGTATAAGTTTCTCAGATATTCAAAATCGTGGTGTAGATTGTTTTAACTCCAAACGAACCCAATCCAACGCGCGAACGCAACCCAAACGCGTACCCAACTCAACCCCACTCCAATCAAACCCTCTTTTTTTCTATCGAGGTCGGGGAACACACTTACGCGTTTTAAACTTTGGCCTGCAACGCTGTACTCATCTTTTTATAAGCATTTTACCATTTCCCTGCATAATATCTGATTAGCTGGTCCGCATGGCTTCCTTGATTGTTTGAAGAAACTCAAAACAAAACGCATTCGGGCGGGCGGAAATTCTCTTCTCTTTCCTTACCCTATATAACTTTTTTTTACAATGCCAACAAGCGATGTTTTTCTCTGAAGTCATTATCTTCCCCTCTTTCGCATTTGTTTCTACTGCCCTTTCTCTTCATCTGTCATAATGATAAAAAGTGTGCTCCACGTCGTCTATACCGCCACTTTGAATTCTTGACAGCTTTGTTCCGAGTTCCTTCAATCCCTTGAGTTCCTTTTGCAGGCGCATTAAGTGTGTGACCATATCACCGCACTTATTACTTTTCACTTGTCGATGTTTAGACCGTATGTTGACCTGTTGATAACTCGATGTGTATTTTTGCACTTTACTGTCAATATACTGGATGTAATCGGTCCATCTCAAATGTTTCCCGATGATCACCTAGTACTTCAAGGATTTGTTGATACTTATTACATGACCTCTCACGGTACTCTATACCTCCTTCATAAATCACCTACTTTTTATCATTACTGCCTCTTTTCTGGAGCAAGCTCTAGTCCCATATCTTGCATCCGGTCAGCTATCTTAGTTATGATTCTTTCAGCCGTCTGTTCTAATTCGCTCATCCCCTACCCGGAACTCCAACCAAACAGAGCTCGGTTCGGCACAATCCAACTCAACAATTGAGCCACTATTTTACCAAGATTAATGCCTCTAACATCAGTGAATAACTGGCATAACATGTGTCCTTAGTAGCACCCCAGAAATAATAATCCATAGGAGTCAAAGCGCAGCTTCTAGACCAATTGACATTGCCATTTTGATTTATAATGCGATTTTCTAAAAGAGGGTGCAAACTGTCAATTGTAGCGTTGGCAGTGGCGCAATTCTATTAAAATCAAATTTTGGGCAGTCTTTCTTTTCAATCGTAGAGAATAAATAATTAGTTAACATGGCACGATAACAGTCGTCATTCACTGTTAGTGCCATTTTCTGTCATTTTCAAAGAAAAAATGTGTCTTTGGATTACATTCCACACCAGTTAATCATTTTGGGGAGCATTGGTTTCTCAATTGTCACATATGGATCTTTTATACCACAAATACGGCACACATAAACTCATCTTTTTCCAACCGTAGTATGGCGCATTCAGCGACCTGCCTTCAGTTCTTGAATTAACTGAACTTTGTAAGCTTTGTTTTAGAAAAATGTTCAAACTTTTAAAAACATGTTTGGAAAACGAATTATCAGAACTTTTTCTGTATTTTGTGCATAATCCAATGAATGGGGAAACGAAAAAGTGGAAGTTACACCAGTGCAATTACGCAACGGTACAAATACACCGGTGCAAAGAATATTTTCAATAGGTATTGATTATTGGAGCAGTGATAAATAGGTAATATCTGTAAAAACACTGGAAAATGACTTGTTGTGAAGTTAGAAAAAACACCAATCTATCAAAAAATTCAGTGGAAAAGTACGAATTTGAATTGTGACGTCATAATGAGGTCTCGTATTAAAAAGTGTAAGTGATACACTTTATCATAACATGATTGTTGGTCGCAATCCACCTTACTTAGCTAAAACGATTTATTTTAGAGGTGACTTGCATAGTGTCAATATCAGAAATAGAAATGTTATAAATCCTCCTAACCATAGGACCACCCTTTTTGAGCGATCCTTTACCTACAGTGTATATTCTCTATACAACTCTATCCCAGATTATATAAAAGTTAGGCGTGGCCGTGCGTTTAAATGTTTGCTGTTTGATTACCTTTTCAACATGCAGTGATTTTAACATTCAGGAACATCTCGGAGGGTTATTAAATTTATGTTATGTTGTTTGATAGCATTAGATGTAAATTTTGATTCTTTAAGATCGATAATTTAGGAATAATACGAAACCTTAGGTTTAAGTTCTTTTTAGGCATTTTCTGACCTGTTTTGATAGCTTTTTTTAATTTAAGGTTGCGGTGGAAGAACAGTTCAACATTTATTATTATTATTTTTCTTTTGTTTTTTTAAAATTTAATTAGCATTAATACAGTTTTTGTATATATGTAGGTATTGTTGAAGAATAAACTCTTATTATTATTATTATAATATAACTTTAAGATTTTGATTTTATATTATTTTATTTATTAATATTTTTACTCCCACCCTAGTCTTTCATTCTTGCAAACTTATTTAATTTACTCCTTCAACGTATTTCTTTTGGAAAGTCACCTTAAATTAACGTAATCCCGCATTTTCAAACCCTTTTTGAAAAGTAATGTTAGGCTAACTACACAACGTTCAATTCAGGGTGTAAGTACTTCCTATGTATTTGATGATTTTATTCACAAAATAAAGGGGTACTATTGGTTTCAGAAATGATTTTTGCTAATAATGAAGACTAAAAATAATTAAACGAAGAAAGCAACAATATAGATTAAACTAAAACTAGAACTAACACTAGAACTAGAAACTTTCGGATTAAGTCGTGCATCTTTCGAAAAAGTGTTTAACCCCTTATTGTGTTATGCAACCAATATACCATAATATTTGCTTTAAAACTGTTATAAATTTCTTTTTCACATACCTAGTGCTGGCTAAGTAAATCGATTTTGGCACTAATAATTAAAAATTTTATAATTTGTGGAATCTCTAAGTTATTAATTTATTAAGTATTTATTTTTATAAAGTTTTATTAAACAAATATAGCGGCCAATTAACAATTACTATTTATTAAAATTTGTAATAAACAAATACAAAAAAAATCGCAATATCTTTAATTGTTCAGATGTACCTAGATAAATTGATATGTTATGATGTAAAAAATCTAAGTCCAAAGTCATGATATAATCAAAGTGCAAAAATCTGTTTTAACTTTTAACAATTTTTTTTTTCTGAATTAATAATTTGGGGTAATTTGAATTTAATGGGTAAAAAAACATAGGATTAAAATTCAACACCAAATTATTCTAAATAAATCATTGGTATTGTAATATAATTTTTTTATAAATACTACCCGGTATATAATTTATGTAATGTGATGGATATGAAAGCTTATTCAAAAGTATTTTTAGAAATAAAATCGCTTTGACTGGATTACCTGTTTGTTTAGATCCTTTCAACGATTTTCTTAATAGGAATTTTAATAAAAAATTACACGTTAATTATCAAAAACCATCCATCGTTTTTAATACCTAACAATCTTTTCCAATCATTTTATTTTCAAATTTACCTTTCGTTTCTCCAATTATCCATTCAGTGGAAAAAATTAATTGTTGCTCAATTAACCCTTTGGATGGCGATTGCCAACTGTTAATACTTCGTCGCAAACAAAATTGTTTGATCTTATAAACAATTAGCAACTAAGGTGATAAATGCTAACTAAATTCTACGTTAAAAGAAGTTATTTGCGTAGAAAGTTACGTGTTTGAATTGTATCATTAAAAGATAATTATATAAATATTACCTACAAAGTGTAAAACCTAGAATTCTTTGAATTTTTATTAGCTATCTACGAAATATTTTAACATATTTAGCCTATGTTTATGATTTTTTCAGATACGTTAAAAATGATAATGACGCGATTCGTAAATGGTTTGTTAACAATCGGGGAAGGATGAGGAATACAAAATAGCGCTGTACGTCCGGTGGCAGCTTTAATAGCAAAACGAACGTTCGAAAGTGATTCAGTTTACTATTCGACGGCGAACTGGTAACATCACCTTTTACCAGAATATTTTTTCGAATTAAACGTGAAGTGCGAAACAATTCAATTTTTTATATTATTACCAAGGCATCAAAAGAAGTTCGTTTTAAAACAGATTCTCTTCATAAAAAACAATTTGGTAAGAAGATTTTCAAGAATTAATTAACTATTAAAAAAAAATTAAAATTCGGTTTTCTGAAAATGAATTAAAAGAGAGATTTTCGTACAAAGCAGGTGGTCTTATTTACTGTAATTAACTGTCAACATTTAAAAGGACGTTGCAACAGCGACGACCAAGTGTTAGCTCTCTCGTTTATGCATCTAATATTTACAGCATTATTCTGATTTGTATACGAAATGAAAGTGAAAGTTTGCAAATAATTTTAGAACGAAGTGCAAGAGAAAATGCGCTCGTGTTTTAATGAAATATTTTGCATTTCTCTTAATTAACAAAAAAAAGTTTAAAACATCTACATTTTTTTTAATCAAAATTTGAAAAGAGTCAATTTGTTTATAATTCCGATTAAATTATAAGAAATCGTTTAGAGTCGATCAAAACGGTTCATAATCGGTTTAAATCATTTAAAATCTAATACAACTGTTAGAGGTGATAAATTACCATAAATTTCTTTAGAATCGATTAAAAACAAATTGATTAAGCGATTCAATTAATTAAAATTCAATAAAATTACTTTAATAACTTTAGACATCCTCTACGATTGCCTTAAAATCATTTTAAATGTTTATGACTGCATTTATAACCGATTAATATAATCTGTAGCCTTTTAAAATGGTTTTAATCTTCTTCATAGTATTTAGTTTATAGTCTTGTAATAAAAATAATAACTTTTCGAGGTGATAACTTCTTGTATTTCTTATTTAGTTATTGATTATATTTCAGAACTATTAATTTTAAATTTCCTTGAAGTTCTATAACATAGTGTCTTAAATTTCTAAATTGTAAAATGGTCAGATCTACAAAATCAGCATCTTATTGCTATCACAAGCTACGATACCAGAGTTATTCGTCTTTCAATATCATTATTAATAACATTATTACTTCGTGTTACAACTTGTAATGTGAGTTTTGTCGCAATTCTTGCTTGTGTTGGTATTGCAAATGTACAACTTTCATATTATGTATTATATTACTGAAAAACGTAGCTTTCCTAACAGGAAAAAAATCCAGGAATTAGCATGATGGGAGATGGTACAGCACCTAAGATATGAGTGTAAATGCAGCACATGAATTGTTAACAAGGAGGTTGACAAGACATGGAGATCGATATCTCTAGATTTATCAAGGCGTCTTATATACTGTAACTAACGGAAATTGTAGGCTTAATGATCGGGCTCGGTGCATTCATCTTCAATCTGTCCAAAAACGAAAAATGCATTCCAAACATATTATCTTTTATTTTTGCATAATGTTAACAATTATTTGACTAAATTAATATAGTCTGAAGTCTGTCATGATAATACCTTTAACCACAAAACCAAATGTGAACCAAAAGTGTAAAGGTACTATTTCTGGGCAGATGTCGACGGGTCTCTACACCATTTATTATCATAAGTCAAGTCGACCAACTTGTTAACACTTTTGGATATATGGAATGCTGGGCTGTCAATTCAACATATTTGTAAATGAGATACACGATGAAATTTTACAGCTGTTGTTGAAATACAATTTACTCAAGTAATCGAATTGTGTACTTCGATAATCTTTTGTTCTCAATTTATAGATCGAGTAGGCATTTTGTCAGGATAGTCCTAAATAAAAATCATGGAACTTCGAACCATTGTCTGTCTCAAACATATTCCAATTTCTAATTGACTCTCTATTTAGCATATTTATAATTATTTATTTTGAAATTTTTGTTTGCAGATTTAAAGCAGATAATCCTAACGAGTTGTTCAAATGAAAAGTTGTAGAACTTCTAACACGATTCGAAAAATCGTTGGCAACAGTTTTGTGTTCAAAATTATTTTCGTTACAGCTAGTTGAACTTTTACTTGTATTTAAAATTCATTAATCTTTAAGTTTGAGCCTTGACATATTTCGCCTTTAATTCTTGTAATACGTCAGCATTCTCAATGAACTTATTTATGTATTCAAACGATATATCATTTTATCATTATTTTATAACTTGATCTCATAAATAGTACAATTAAAAATTGTTTTAAACGCACTTTATGAATATTGATTTTCTTGTGTTTTCCTTCTAACTTCTTTGACACTATTTTTTTTCTTTCGTTTTATTATCGGCAACATCCTCACAGGTGTCATGTGAGGCATTCTTACAGGTTTCCACATGAGCCCCTATTTCTATATTTGTCATTCTAGATGAATACTGAATATATGTTGTTGTAGACTACAGTAAAAAACATACTTCATATAACATAGTTATATTAATAAACGGCGAGAGACTGAATTTTCCTAGATCTGGGCAATGGAACAAAACACCATTCCATAAATCCTGTTGCTGCTTGCATAAAGAAACTTACGCTGACCTCGGCTGTATCTATCAACCTTGCATCCTGAAAGCATATATTGATTATATAACAAGTTATACATATACACGGCATTTGATGATATTAATACAATTAATCATATTATAGAATAGCCATTTTTAAGTGTTTTAACTCATTGCACAAGAATATACATATATCATTGATGTACAACAATGAATTTTAATGTTTTCGTATGCAAACATTATCAAATTCCTTTGCATCTAGACCTGCTGATTGCTCCCCCTTTCATTTTTTCCGTTTACCTTCTGTCTATAGAATTCTCAATTGATCTAAATTTTGTAATAAATCATTAATATTTAGTACACTTCTAAATCCTTCAGGTTTCGCAAATTGCCGGAAAGCTATGAGATGTACCCAAAAAACGCTGAACGTCACAGGGGTCGTTGATAGTGGTGCGTATAAGAGTCTTGCATGGTCTGAGACGATACTCGGACAAGACAAGTCGAGACTTTCATTGGTCTTGTCTCGTGCATGAGGTCTTCGTCTCGTACGAGAGTCTCGCAGGTAAGTATTTCTGCAAATAATATCTGCAATATTTCTATAAATATTTTCGTATCTACACGCTGGAATTCCAGTAATGATATGTTGAAAGTACCTTTTGAAGGTAGACATGGACTTGGTGCATTGTGTCAAAATGTTGTTGATTTAAAACCATATGCTCTTGAGGACAAAGAATGGATACTGCTAGTAGAAGTGCATAAATTACTAGTCAACTTTCAAATACTTTCCAAGAAACTCGGAGGAGAGAAGTACGTCAAATTACCTATGGTGGTTGTATGTATCAATATACTAATAGATAATATTGAGAGCAAAATATTTGCATGGGATCGAAAGGCAGATCGAAACGCGGTCGAAGAGCAACTTATTGTTAGTTTTTAGGCTGGGAGAGACAAAATATTAAAGCATTATCGTAAAACTAATTAGATTTATGCTGCAGTTTTAATTCTCGATTTCCGGCATAAGATAGAAGTTTTTGATATGACAAGATGGAGCCAAGAATTAAAAGAGACTTCGATTCAGAAATTTGAAAATGTATACAAACCCTATTTCCATCAATAAGAAGGCCAACATTGGAAAGTAACGGCATTGGAGGAACGAAGATTCTAGAGCGGAAAAGTCGGATTTTGTAATTGATTTTGATGTTTTGTATGCAGTAAATCCTACGCCTTCCGAAGGAGAATGTATGCAGAGCTTCAAAAATATTATTCTATGCCTCGGTGTAATAAAGACACAGATATATTACAATGGTGGAAAATTCATGCTTCTGCATTTCCTATTTTAAGTTTAATGGTACGAGATCTTTTAAGCATACCGGCTACTTCAGTCCCGGCGGAAAAATTATTCTCACGTGCTGCATTAACTATAAGAAAACATCGAAATCGCCTTAATAATAAATCTGCACGATGTTCGTTATGCCTAAACGATTGGGTGAAAAACAAAATCATTTGCGACCGACAGGGCTGATTCTCTCTTCCGACTCTTACATTATAGCAAGTATTTAAGTATTCCTTATTGCACTGAGACAATAAGATTATGCATGACGAGATTTCGATACTTTTATCAGACTCTCGTACGAGAAACGAGAAACGACTTATTATACACTTATTATACAAGACTTATTAGTTCATCGGCAAGACAAGACTTTATGAAAATCTCGTCTCGTTAGTCTCGTGCGAACCACTAGTCGTTGAATAGAGGATATATTGGACAAGAATTTAAAATGAGTTATACCTGGCAATTAATGTCTATTATAGCTTCTGTTGTTAGATTCGCAGATATCACAACAATTAAATAAATTTCTATTGATTGAAGCTTGTCAAATCAATGATCAACAATAGATATGCCTTAAAAGATACTGCGACATACAAATATAATTTTAGAATAATTATTGGAACTTTTACACTTTTAGAAGGTAAATCTGCTTTTTGCAAGATTCTCACCTTTACTTTTTTACTGTTTCTAACCTGAACTAAATGTTTGCACTTTTACTTTCAAAATCACCATAATTAGGCAATTTAACAGTTGCTGTAGGATTCTTGACTTTTGAGAAAGGGACAATGAGGACCGTTTGTCATACGTTGGGAAAAGGGAATCTTCCAAGACAACAATTAATCAAATAGCATATGTAAGGGATTGTAATAGGACTTCATTCGTTTTAATATCGATAAATTAAATTTAATATCGTTTGAAGATAATCGTATTTTGATTACTAAAAGCTCGAATTTATGAATATTGAAAGTAACTGTTAATCGTATCAGGAATGCCTATTGTAAAATGAACTTGTGGTAGGTAAAGTGCGAAATGGTTTCTGTTCTTTTTAATTTTGAATAGAGGCATTTAAATGGAATGTAGAAGTTATTTGAAAAATTTTTGAGAGTTTTAGTCAAAAGAAAGATTTATAAAGCCGCGTTTATATTGGGAATGAGACTCCAGGAAATGTAGTGATCAAGAAGAGACAGAAGAGAGAGAAGGAAAATGAAGAAATGAGTAGGAAGATATACGTTAAAAATCTATGATAGTAATAAATCAAACTAGTATTGATTTGATGAAGCAGAATTATCATTCAAAATGAGCTCTTTTTGTGGTGGCCTTTCTAATTTCATTATTTCAGTCAGAAATTTTTAGGTCGAATCCACCGATACGGCTCAATTTGCAATAATTTTAATATTATAAAGTTACTAAAGATGGGATTTCTAGAAAAGAAGTGAGATCGATTTTACTCATGGTCGTTCTGAACATATTTTTTCTCTATCTCTCTTAATATATCTTATACTGGGATGTCACCAAGCAAGTATGCAAAAATATTCTTTTGCTATAAAGTGTTGTCTTGGACTAATTGAGTCTCCCTGTCGTTATATTGCTGGTAATTGCGATTTCCTGGCGGGATTCTTTAATCTTTAATGATATTAGACATGATATTTAATATGCTTGTGATAAACGCTGCATTGCCTTGCTAGTGTTGCTTGAGTTTAGAAAGATCTTTGATTTTAGACGCCAAACTCTCTCTTCTGTGTCTACTTTTTTTTGTTTTTCAATGTTTATGAACGAAGTTATCGATAACATCTTCGTAACCATGATTTCTGCGATAATAATGTCCTGTGATGTGTCATAATAGTGACCTTTTTCGCAACCTTTACTGAATAAACCCAACTCTTTCCTTGAACCTCACCTAAAACAGGACAGTAAAGCAACTGTATGTGTGATCTGGTTAGGTTACAACATATTACGCTATTCTAGAATCATTTACAGATGTTAACTTGCCAGAGTCTTTCACAGATCAGGTGGAATCGATTTCATTGTGGAATTTGCAACAAAATGGTAATCATAAAATCGTAAGACTTAAATCTTCAAACTTGGCTGTATTTATCATAAACTTATGCCTTGATTGTTTGTGTTACAAGTTCTAATAGCATGCCCTGACTTCATCTGAATTGGGTATGCTTCGAAAAAATTAGTTTGTTTTTCATATGCTTTAAACTTTTTCAATTACTGCATTTTGACTAAACGAAGTAATAGAAACTAATGAAGTTATTAATAAATAAGACAGTCCTAAGAATAGATTCTTCTATACTCAACTTTAATGTGTTGATAATGACATATTGAGCACTTTGTGAGGAGAGATATCAAAACAGGAAAGCGGCACCTATTATACATCCAAAGCAGTCTAACGATGATGGTGACTAACTTTCTATTAATGAAGGAAGATTGCTATGACTCTATGAACCGAGTGTTAAAAAAAATTTGAAAGTCGCTGAATCTCTTAAAATCCGGAAAAATTTTTTAAAAGCACCAAAATTGAATTACTCAAAATTACGTAAAACTCAAGAGATTGTTTCAGTACATCTTAAATCGACATAAAACTAAAACTAAACTAAAATGGTAATTTAAACCTTAATAAATTTGTTTCAAATTGTTTTAATTCCATTTAAAGAAGTTTATGTTAGTGCGAAAAATTCTCGAAATTGTTTTCGCTCCTTTTATTTTCTTTTAATTTGAGTTTAAGCAGGTCCCCAGTGTGTTTAAATACTTTCACTTGTACCAAATGCGGTTCGCAATGCGTGTGGAAACGGAGCTTGACCCGTAATCGGTGCGATTAAGAGCTTTGTTATTGTTGTTGTTAAAAAAAGCTGCGAAGATAAAATTTTTCCACTCGCGTTGCATAACAAAAAAACTGCAATGAATTACATAAAATTAATTTTCATTTTCGTTGGATTATTCGTTTTTTAAAAAACGTTTTCTTGATGAATAACTGTACTCTTAGTTATTTCTTTATTATTAGAGTGTCGACAAAACACTCTAATCTATTGCTTTCACTTGCGAAGCCTAAAGCAGTGTCAGATTTCTGAGTTTTTTATTCAAAACGTAACGCGGAAGTTGACTGAAACGAAACGTGGTGTTTTATTATTGTAGATGAAATCAAGGACGTGATCTTTTCTAGTTTTTTTTTGTTTTGAACAATTTTTAACTTTCTACGAAATCTTAAAGTTCATGATTTGGTTATTTTGGGATTAAAAGTATGTAAATTACACTCAAAAGCGTTATGTAACCATTAAAATCGTTAAAAATGGTTAGACTTAAATTTGTTTTTTGGCTAATAATAACGATTAATAAGAATAATTTAATAAATCTAATAAGATATTGAAAGTATATCAAGTTGTATAACATTTAATAATCATTAAATTTAATTTAAATTGAGTTAATTAAAGATTTAAATTTCAATTTGAATTATTTTTAGCATAATTAACACGGTTATGAAGTTTTTTTTTTGAACATCGCATACATCGGGCTTAAATAAACATTATCTAATGAAAAAGTAAATATTGATTCATTGCACTGTTTGGTGCTTAGTAAAACAATTTATCTAAACGAAAGGTGTTAAATTTATACATAATAAAAATTTTTGAACATTTTCGTGAATATTCTTTTATTGTGATAACTAGAAAAAAAATGTAACAGGGTAATTAAAAATCAATTAAGATGTAAAGAAAGTTAAAAAGGAAGAAGGAAAATGCAATTCCGTTATTATTACAAAATGATTACTGCTGATGCATTTTAGAAAGGTAACATCGAAACCGCAGCAAAGAAAATCTCCTCTAATCTTTTCCATATTCTTTATAATAAAGTGAAAGCGTAAGCAATCTTTTCCCCGGTGATTACAACAATAATACGAATCGCTGATTGAGTTTATTGGGATGTGTACACATAGTATTTTTTAAATTGAGGCCGTTAATAAACTAGAAATAAATTGGAAGCGAAAATCTCTCTATTACTTTCAATTTTCTATCATTTTTGTAATTACTATTATTATTAATCTAATCGATGCATGCGCAATTATTAACCTGAAACAAACTTGTTTATTCCAGACAAATTAATAAGTGATTACTTAAGATGGATTTTAGCAAAAGTGTAATTGGTAATTGGTACAAGGGAAAAAAAATTTTTATAACCGGAGGAACTGGTTTTATGGGTAAAGTCCTTATTGAAAAATTACTATTTGCATGTCGCGAAGTGGACACTTTATATGTTCTTATGAGATCGAAACGAGGAAAGTCTATGGAGAAGAGGCTCGAAGCTATGTGGGAGTTACCGGTAAGTTGAGAATAAAGAGAAAGTGTGTTATTTATTTACGATGTTTACAAATTCAAAAAATTGTTTATGGCAATACGTTGCAATTTAAATCGAAATAAGAGAACATAAAATTACTTCATCATATTAACAAATAATTATTTAAAAGCAGTTTACTTTAGAAACTTAAATCAACTCTGTAATCGCAGTTGAGAAATCTGCGAATTCGAATTTACCACAATGTTTTCGACTTCAGGAATGCAGCTCAAATATTCCAATGAAGTCTGTCGTTAATAAGATAACGATGTCGCAAAAGTATCGATTTCATTGTTGTTTACCTTGATAACTTTCTTATCACAAGAAAAGTTAACAATAATACCTAAATCATCTCATAATTTTATTCGAGATATTAAATCAATTTGGTGTTATTATTGATCTATGTATCAATGGTCTACCTTTCACAGAAAGTTATTAGAAATTTATCTCTCAATCAAACACTTTAGACATTTATTAGATTGTGAATTCATTGTATTCACAGTTCTTAAGACCACAACAAGCCTGTTATTTAACGTGACATACAATTGACATCGAATACTTAATTCCTAATTCTTTTCCTTAACCTTAGTATGTCATCTTATTATAAATATAATTATAAACTAAATTTATTGAAAAAAAAAATTGTTTACATCAAATAAAAAAAAAATTATCTAATGCAACGAGGAATACAATTAAAAGGCACTTCAAGAAAGCTCCCACCCACAAGATAAAAATACAACAACAAAAGTGTTTAAGTATTATCTCAGCTCTAAAACAACATGTTGAAAACATGATTGCAGCATTACTTAACCTAACCTAATCCATTGATAACAATGTTCTGAAAGTAACGATCTGCGTTTACAATGGTTCTACAATTGGATTCAAGGGATTCTTTTAGTCATTTTTAACGTTTTTATATAAATATCGTACAAGGTCATTTGGAAATGTTTCAAAAAGATAACAGAAAGCTAAATATAAATGTTGTGGGAGACTTATGTTAGAAACTCTTATGGCAAAACATACAACTAATGATTATCGAAAAGGATTCCACCAGATTTATCAATAACTCACTGTTGTATTGGATAAATGTTATACCAAGTTTAAATAAAATATTAAGGAAATCAAAAAGGTTTGAATGTATGTATTATTAGCGATGAACGAACCAACATTCGTCATCAAATAGTAATAAATTATGTGATTGACAACTACCAATGATTATTACTGCAATTTTTCCAATGTTACCAGGCTGGTTTTATTGGGACCATAAAATGTAATTGTTGTCATCACGAACAAGGCGAAAGATATGGTAACTGCTAGACATAAAATTGAAAAAATGTTTTTATATATAGAGTAATAATTAATAGATCAAGTAATAACGTTGTTTAAGCTAGTTTGTAACAAAATAAGAAGATTCACAAACGAAGCTATCTACAGCAAATAATCTCTTTTATAAATACACAATCACTTTGACACATTCAAAACACTCTCTTTACGATAGAAGACATACAGTTGCATTCTGTTAAAAAAGCTATCCCTATTCATACCGATTGAATGAGATTATTGACTTGTAATTTTTTGAAACTACATTGTATAATATTTTGGCTGAAATAACAAATTACACAATTAAAGGCATGTTATAGGGCAGCAAATTGCATATTAGCAAGTTATGATGATTTACATATTATCCGAAAAGCGACTGACGTTGAAAATTAATAAATGAAATTTCGCAAAAAATTGATGCTATTTTTGTGTTTATCACTGAATCTATGTATGCAGAATGTATTTGCTTAACATTTGCAAATTGTAGGAGATGATTCTTTAATCAAATTTTAAAGGTAGTCTCTGGAGAGACTTTCGTATCTTTGATTTAATTCCAACAGCATAATATCCAAAAATTATTCGTTTTTAGGAGAATATCAGCGAGATAAAAAGATAGTGGATATGTTAAGTAATTTGGAAGGGAAGATTACATTACTCAATACATACTCTATTATGATCAGAACTTACTTTCCAAATTTCATTAAATGTTTCTGAGAAGATAAAATCTAACCAAATTTTTTGCCATTTTCTTAAAAAGATTCAAAGTCGCCATTATATCTTGTTCGTCCACTTATTGATCAACTGAGAATGTGATTCCGTTCACAAGTTGTAAGGCAGCGTGTCAGTAAGCATATAATTGTAAACAGTAAAGCCACTTAATTGTAATGTAAAGCAGTTTATACTATGTGGTTCACTTCTTTATACATAATAGTTATTACAATGTGTTATCTAAGAGCTCGCGCTATATAGTAATTTGGTACTTTTAAGGTCTTAGATATCTTAAATAGCATATATTATATCAATTTTTAAATGAGGTATCGTTATTATCGAATATTTTACAATCTATTCCATATGGCAATGATTTTCACAGAAAAATCTATTGTAGAACGATGCTAAAACTTCCTGATTTTCGAGTTAAAGTTGGATGTCTCTGTTAGGCTTCTAAAACCGACGAAACTTCTGCTATTGCTAGGCTAGCTAGTATTAGAAAAATATGCCTATTTCCTTAGCTAACAGTTATTTTTGAATTAAATGTTTCCATAAAAGTGGATACATCTGGAATTTTCAGGTTTTTGTAGTAAGTGCAAATTGAATCTATTTAACATCGATTCTCAAATGATTCAAATTTATTGTTCTCAATTATTTCATTTGTCTTAACTTTCAGTATTTTCTTTTGATAACAATTTCTCTCTGCCAAGGAGTCAAACCTGTGGAGTTAATGTGTTCAGCAAAGTTTTGTCTAATTGTAGAAGCAATCTGTGGACTTTGGGATAGGTTGTGTAATAAAAATGGTCGCATTTTTCTTGCATATTTTGTATTGTATTGTCTTCGCTTATTTCAGCTGAAAAATTTTGTAAATAGTTGTGTAGTACACAAGCACTTTTCACAACACATAAAGTTTCGAACATGTCGGAGTCATTATCAGAATTAGATTCTGAATTCAAATTTATTAACATAGCAGAAATATTTATCATCTTTTTATCATTTTAATTCAGCATCGAAATTGTGACTATCCATGTTCCGGAATAACTATCGTAAGATGTGTTGCACTATAACTTATACTATAAATCTACAGTGAGCATGTAAATTCAAGGGTTGTTATAGGGTGAGTCAGATAGAATGGGAATCTGTCAATAATCTCTCCGTTGGGTTGGGTTGGGTTGGGCCAGGTAACTGTTTTGCCACGTCCTTTCGCGATTTGCCTGCTGCGAAATCGATCTAAAATAACAATAAGGAAGACGACCACAATTTTGAAAATTACAAATATAAACATTGTGGTCTAGTGGACTTCAAAACAACATGAGTTGTACATTACAAGACTTATAGAAAATTGTTAGGAAATAATCTTAGTGCAAAGCTTTCCCAAGCGTACCAACTGAATTAACATGAAAGTGTGATATTCCTAAGAGATTATTTTCTTATTTTGTAAATAAAAAAATTGATAAGAATGTCTGACATATTAAAATTACTGCGACGAATGATACAAGAATGCCCAATACCTTGCAACAAATTCAAAAAAACTTAGAATTTCGTAGTATAGTTGTGTATTTTCGTAGTATATTTTTTTAGTATCAGTTCAGTGCCGACACTTGCAAGAAAATGATGGTTATTAAGGTCTTCTGCTGCCTAACGAACCCTGCAGTTCTCGCTTCTCTTCATCGACGCTTTTCGTTCGTATTGATTAATAAAGCAATCAAATGAAATAGACTAGCTTGGTTGGCTTATCGATCTCAATCTTGGCATTTTTTTTCCTTAATCGTTTTGAATCAAACCAAACAAATTATCTTAAAAAATGATGTTAGTTGTTTTTTAATATTGTTTTCAAAGTTGCGATCATCTTGAAAACAACAACCTATTTACTTATTTACTAAATCTGAGGTTACTGCCGTAATTACTAAGTGACCAATTATTTCGATAAAAATATATAGATTTAATGAAATAAAATTACACCTATTTCACAAGATTTATTAAATGGAGGTTATTTATAAGTTACAATGTTTTCATGAACAAGTATTTTCCGTTATTTCTTTATATTTGCAATTACATAAACGATATCCCAGTATATTAAAACTGATAAAACTGTTTAATTACTTCTACAAGGTGATATCTAAAGTTTAAATGATAATAATATTCATTTGAAATTATATAAAAATTATTTAAGATTATTACCTCAGAATCATTAAAAACTATAAAATCGATTAAGTATTTATAAATTATTTAGGAGTTACCAATTTACGAAAACGATTTTGTCCCTTTAACCCAGAAAAAAAGTGAAAGTATGGAAAATTTCCCATGTTCTTAAGTTAAAAAAAAATAAAATTGATGTGTTGTGATACTTAAATAAAAAAAGGGTCAATATTTCAAGTTCATGTAGAAAGTTGAAACTTGTTTTTTAAACTTGCAGCTTTTTTTATGCAATTTCGTTACTGATTAATTACAAAATAATTATAGGTGGAAACAAATTAAAAGAAAATAACGAAAACATCATTATAATTTATCTTATTTTTCATTTTATTTTTAGGCTTTTGAAAGAGTTAAAGGAACAGACGAAAATTTATTATCAAAAGTAATCCCACTAAACGGTGATCTATCAAGTGAAAATTTGGGTTTAAGCCCCGAAGATGTCAACAAAATTGTTAACGAAGTTTCCGTCGTTTTTCATTTTGCCGCAACGTTAAAATTAGAGGCTACTTTGAAAGATGCGATAGAAATGAATACATCCGGTACTCAAAGGGTTATTGATTTGGCTAAAAAAATTAAAAACTTAGACGCCTTCGTTCATTTAAGTACTGCGTTTTGCTCGGCTGATCTCGATGTATTCGAAGAAAAAATTTACGAATCGCCAGATAATCCAAGGGATGTTATCAAAATGACTCAATGGATGAAAAACGAAGCTGTTGTTAAAGCTACCCCAAGTATAATTGCACCTCATCCAAATACTTATACTTACAGTAAACGATTGGCTGAATCTTTGGTTGCAAATGAATTGGAAAATATGAGAGTTTGTATTGTTAGACCATCAATTGGTAATTTCTTAATATTTACTGTTTGGATTATGCATAATTATTTTTTATTTTGCAGTTACTCCAGCTGGTTTAGAACCAGTTCCTGGTTGGGTTGATAGTTTAAATGGACCAATTGGAATTTTGGTAGCTGGTGGAAAAGGAGTTTTAAGAACAATGCATTGTAAAGCTGAAAATAGTGCTCACGTTGTTCCTGTTGACATTGCTATCAATTCTATTATTGTAGCTGCTTGGAAATTAGGTTCTGCACCAGAAAAGTAAGATGCTTTTAAATTATATTATAAATGAACAAAAAACCACCGCACAAAAACCATCACATACGTCTTATAATTTACTTAGCTGTGTTTTTACACTATATTTTGTTTTGAATATGAAAATGAATACGTTATAACATCATTTCAAATATATCATAGATATACTACACTGCTCATAAGTATAAAAAAGGAATATGACAAGATATTTTAGAAATGATATAAAAAAAATTAATTTCATCTAAAAAGTTAACGGCGAAAAATACGTTCAATGTATTTTAATGTGTTAATTTTCTCTCGGTGCAATATAATTACTCAGAACTCAATGTGATAATTTAATTTAACACACAATGATGTTCGTTCTCATTACGCAATCAAATAATCATATATTGGAAAATTGCAAATGAACTAACAATAAGTATGTGGAATTAATCAAATTAATTTTAATGAACTCAATTAATCTCAATGCAATCAAGAATTTATGCTCATTTTTAGATTTAGGTTATTAGTTTATAACGTAAACTCTATTAAATAATTTAAAAATTATTTAATAATAAACAATTTCTTTTCTTCAGTTTTTGTCGATTCTTCTCCAATCCAGCAGAATGTGGATTGTGGAAGATGCAATTTGACAACATTTAGGTTGAGGAGGTCCTGATGAGCATCAGGGTTACTGACAGTATTAGTAGTGATGGTATTCCATCAATTTTAATCAAGGAATGTTCACAGTCTCAGCTCCTTCCTTTAATTATTTTATTTAACGCTTCTTTAGTAATGGGTCTTTCCTTCATTGTAGAAGCGGGATTTTAATCTTCCCATTTTTAATTCTGGGGAGCATGGTATTATATCTGATTACCGCCCCATATATATTTTGCGAGCATTTAGGAAAGTCTTTGAGAAAGCAGTTTAAGCACGTCTATTTTTTGCCGTTAAGTCTAAAATCAAAGAAGGTTGAGAGAAACTTGTTTGAATATACTCTTAGTGATAACGTAGTTTTTCTGCCAAAAAGCCAATATAAATGTGTCTAAATTTAATATTAAGTTCCTTATTATTAAGTTATGCTCAGTAAAGTTTATGTATGTCGATTTATTTGTATTTAATTTTATTGGCCATCGTTTAGTCCAGTTTTCTGCTGAATTCAAGGCCAATTGTAACTTATTTGCTGCAACTACTTCATTTTCTGCAACATCCAAGATCGCTGTGTCGTCTGCAAATGTAGCTGTTAAAGTTTCTGGTATCTGAGGAAGGTCGAATGTGTAGAGTAAGTACAGTATTGGGCCAAGTTTAAAAAATCGCTGTTTGCTGCAGTTAGTAGTGTGTTGCCTTGGTCGTTCATTTGATATGTGATATTTATATCACCTAAAGTATCACCTTAGTTTAATTTTTCTCCTTTTGATTCACTTTTATACCATTATTATTATTGTGAACTGTAATTTAACTAGTATACAACTGGTTGTTCGTGGTACAGTGTTATTGGGTTCGACCTGCTTCTGTACCGACTTGAGACAAATAAAAAAAATAAATAAATAAACAAAAATTATTTGTTTTAGACCCAAAGAAGTACCTGTTTACAATTTAACCAACGATGACGTTTTAAAATTAACTTGGGGAGATGTCTTGAACGTTGGAAGACGAAACTTTTATGATTACCCATTTGAAATGCAAGTTTGGTACCCAGACGGTACTTTACAGTCCAATTATTACGTCCATTTCTTTTGGACTATTTTTATTCATTGGTTACCAGCACTTTTAATTGATGGATTAATGTTTATATTTCGACAAAAAAGATTGTAAGTATTACAAAAAAATGATACTTTTATCCCGCAGAATATTGCGTACAACTCGATTTGATGGCGGTTAAATTAATCTGCAATTATAATTTTTAGTATGATTCGAATACAAAAAAAGATTTATGATGGTTTAGAATTGTTACAATTCTTCACTACGAGAGAATGGAAATTTAAAAGTGAAAATTTCTTAGCATTGGTTAACGAGTTAAATCCCACAGACAAAGAATTATATCCTATGGATTACCATTTATATCCGATTGATAAATATATGGTTTATTGCATTTTGGGAGCCCGTCAATATACAATGAAAGAAAATTTGAAGTCTTTAGGAAGATGTCGTGTTCAACTTAGAATGTAATAAGCGTTTTGATAAAATGTGGCTAAAAATTTATTTTGTTTATTATTTTTAGATTATACGTGGTGGACAAATTATTCAAACTATTGCTTATGTATGGATTCTTTTGCTTGGCGTGGTCTTATTCTGATACTGTAAAGTATTTAGTGGAAATCTTTCGGGAATACGCTAAAAATTTACCTATTTTAAGTAAAGCTCTCTCTGAAAAACAAGGTATTTAAAGCTCAAAAAATGTTTTAATCACAATATTTTATATTTTTATGGTGAAAACATGATTAATTATTAGAATACCTTTGTTTGTATAAAAATTGTTTATTTGCTCACTTTGTTGTATATTTTTAATAAATTTTTTTAAATTAAAAGAAAACTTTTATTTTTAAAATGTACAAATATTTTTAAATTTATAGCATGAGATATATGCTTACATATTTTGTGCAATTAATACGTTGTTAATTGATAAAATGTAATAAATGACACTAGTTATTTAAATGAAAGCAGAATCTTAGAGTCATAAATCCTACTTTGAAATTTATTTTTAAGATTATATTGAAAATTTATTCAGAAACAACACTACATTATTTTACACACATACCTAGGTAGGTTATAATGAAACCTGCACATGTTATAAAAAGACATTTTTGGGTGTTTACTATATATACCATACCATTTCTCAGGAAGTTCCCAGTTACCAAAAACATGTTCGATTTCCCCAAGAATTGAAAAAAAACTGACTCTGTTCATTTCAAATATTTTTATACTTTTTGGAAAAGCCTCGCCCAAATTTTCTTCCAAAGATAGTTTTTACGTTTCTTTCTGACCAATGGATCACACTTCTGCGTTAGATGAACAGGCACACTGAATTCTTTACCAACACAGGTTATCTGTCCTCTACCAGTATAAATGCCTTCATAAACAGTAATTTAAAAATTTGTAAAGCATTATTAAATTCATTACTGACATCTTTGTGATTACAAAGTAGACATTTTTGCGTATGAAACCTGTGTTACCTACTTGGGCTGTTAATATACAGATTGCGCTCGGAAAGCTTTCGACAGGAGCATATATATTATATAAGATGATACTCTTCTAAGATCACATACCCTGTCTATATATACCTGCAAATGAGTAAAAACATTCTCATTGTCTCGTCATTCTTGCAATCTCTACTTTCAACATCAGCCTCAACTGTATCAACCTCATAGCTACATGAGCAAAGAACAAAAATGCCATGCATGTGGGTATGCATGGCCAAGTTATGTTATGGTTTCACTTTCCACGGATATGACCATTTTTTCGCATATCATACTTCTCTTGTCACTTTCCAAAAACTTTTCCACCCAACCTTCGCTTTTCAACTCTCCTACACCTCAAGAGCAACCTCAAAAAAACAAATGTCTTCTTATCACTTCACTTCTAAATGCAGTGGGAGTTTATCTGCAGGAACCTGAAGCACATAATAATAACATCGACCATCTCCTGAATTGTGTATTATCAAGGTGGTGATCCGTAGACCCTAAGACGATTTAGCACAATGACAAAAATCAACCCTTTGTGTCTCAGGTCCTAAGAACAATTTATCATTCATACGACATCACTCAGTTCCAACTTCCAACTTCCAACTAATAACTTATTCGTTAAATAATTCTGGTGCATAAAGCTGCCAATTTTGTCCAAACGTACACAAAAGTACTTCACATATTCCTTGATCTTTATGGCCACACAATTATGTTTAATAATTGGCAACCTTTTCAATTTACCGTTTAATTGTCATGCTACTGTCTTGCTTGCTGCCACTGTTACCCCGGATTCTGTAATCGAAAGTGGAAGCTTATCCAAATGTCATTGTTATATATACTTTATAAGTAAAGACCGCTTGATTAACTGTAAGTAGCATCTCTTTGGTAGATGTTTGTACAGATTTGGACAAATCAGTATGTTAATTGAACTGATAAAAAATAGTCAGTTAATCTAAAAATTATTAAAAAATGCCAAATTGTACGACATTGAAAAGATAATTAAGGTTGAATCAGTTTATTCAATATTCATCAAAATGCTTGTAATCTGAGGGGTGCTTCCGGATGGCTCGTAAGACAAAATTATTTTTTTTAGTACCACTTCCACATTCACGCAGCAAGATATGCTGACACTAGGCCCTGAGAAATGCGTCGGTTATATATTGTAAAGCATCGAACACAATCGATCGATATACAGGGTGATTCTTAACTTATACGCATAAATTTGGGGATTTCTTCCTCATGACAAATAATGACTAATTGGCGAAAAAAATTGTAGTAAAAGCTTTTTAGTTTCCTATATATCCTTGAAATTAACTTTCAAATTAAGAGTACATAGAAATTACTTGAAACTAGGATGGTGATAAACAATTGCAATTTCAAGCGACACACATATTTGACGAGGCTTAGGCAAAATGGAGGAGCAGTTAGATCTTTACACATTGGTAATGTCGAGAAAGAGATTTTGAGTGTCGTCGACGAGCAGCCTGGCCTAAGTACTAGAATACTTGCAGAGCAACATGGGGTATCATAATTTGGTGAATATTGAGGCACAATCAACTCCATCCATATCACATGCAACGTGTACAAGCCCTACTACCAGTAGATCTCATTTCATTCTTGGAATGAATTGGCCCTTTCATTTTTTATAATCGATTAACTGGTGCTCATTATTTACAATTTTTGCACGATAATTTACCCAACCTCAATCCTCTGGATTTTTATTGTTGAAGTCGCTTAAAAATCATAGTGTACGCCACCAAAGTGCATAATGAGCAAGAATTGCGAAATCGGATACATGGTGTTGCCGAGACAATCCACCAACACCATGGTTTAAGTCACCCTTGTGGAAGATCGTGAATTCGGCGAGCCCAATTGTGTATACAAGGTATGGGAAATAACTTCGACCACTTGCTATGATGTTATTTTAAAGTGTTTTATGTATTCTTCATTGATAGTAAATTTCACGGATATCTATGAAACTAAAAAAGTTTGCTACAATTTTTTTCACCTATTAGTCATTATTTGTCATGATCAATAAATCCCCAAGTTTGTGCGTATAGGTTGAGAATCACCCTGTATTGGACGATCGGGACATAGATTAGATCAGATATAACAATGTAGTTAAGTAAGGTTCCTGAAGTCGGTGGATATGTAGCTATTAATGAATGAGATAATCTTTCCTTCTGAATTCGGTTATGTTTTAAATATGCAACTTAACCCTCTTCAAATACGACGTACAAGAGTAACATTTGCTTAATTAAATAGGATAAAGGGGTCCGATAGCCGAAAGTTAGATGTTCTAAGGTGTTAAGTAAATAGCGTTAATAAATTTTGAAGTTACAAATAATTTTTTAAAATATGGTGTTGCGGCATTGCGTGATCATCAATTATAATAAGAGACATGATTCAAATAGTGATAAAACTTAAAATTTTAAAGTTATTTCTTGTTCTATTCTCGAGGAATGGGAGAGGGTGGGAGAGGAATGGGTTTTTGGACCTACTTTTAGAGTAGGTATTTCTTAATTTTTGTGATATTCCGTTTTGTTTTGTTAAATGGGACGCCTGGTATAGTGGACGTTTGATGAATACTTTCGTCTGGTGAAACAGAAAAACTGTTAGAATAAGCGCATTTGGTACAAGAATTGCCAGGAATAAGAAAAAACAATAAAGATCTTAAAAAGTCTGCATTTACTTGGGAGCTATTCTTTACAGTAGACATAATTCCCATAATTCTGGAAAGTAATAACACTAATAACAAAACAATAAGAAATTTAAGATCAATTATACTGGAGATTGTAATTACAACCTCAAAAAAATATTTAAAGGAAGCATTCTAATTTTGTAGTTCAAATAAAAACCAACTAAAATAAATGTTTCAAGATCTAAATGTATTCTTCCCACCATCTCAATATAAACAACATTATTTATAGGTTACACTGTTTACAGTGTTTATGTTTGGAGCAAGATCCAGCTATTCTGCTTTTGACATCAACAAAAACCAAATTATCTACGAATTGATTGGTAGACGAATCCTATTTCTTTAAAATTAACTTTTAACCGATTCTTATATTGCTAAACCCTTCAATTATAAAATACTTTATTGTAACAACGCCGTAAAGATTTCATCATCTCCGGGCGATTTGAATAGTTTAAATATTGGAACCACCAAATCAAGACTTGTCGGTGAAAGGTGTGTAACCTCTTTGGTCCAAATCATTTTATAAGTTTCAATACTCTTTACATTACAAATTGATTGCTTTGTTAAGTATAAAGTATACAAATGTCCAAAAAATTTCATCCATTTCTTATTAATAAATCATCACAGTTCAGTAAATACAATTTTTAAGACACTATTCAATTTTATTATTTAAAAGAAGTTATTATTTTTATTAAAGTTATGCAACCAAATTTTCTATATGAAGAGCGGTGAAGTTTATAAACAGCAAGAGTATAAAAAAAGTACCTCGTGGATTGATAGTTGAGACCCGTTTGAACTGCTTTGAAGCATTTACAACAAACAATTCCGCGCCAGTATTAGTCATGGTCTCGATCTGGTGGGAGACTGCGTCGAATTTCATTTAAGTTTAATTTAGTGCCATGACACGATGAGGCAAAGAACCTTTCATTTTTATTTTAAATAATAAATAATAAATTAAAAATATTATAAAAAATTTAAGAAAAATGCCTCAAACAACGTATAATTCAATGAGTTCCCAAGAACCCATATGGACCCAAGTCGTTTGTGATCCAGAAAGTCCTTTTTCAGACTCCGAAAATGAGGTATGAAATGTTATAATTTAATTAAAAAAGTCAAAAATGAATTAATTTTTCGGTTTTAGATAAAAATTCGGATGTCTAATAAAAGTAAAGGTCTTTCCGTTTTGGCAACCGCAATTTTTATCGCTGGCGAAATGGCAGGAAGCGGAGTTTTAGCTTTACCCAAGGCCGTTGTAGACTCAGGTAAAAAAATCCTGCTTAAATTATCCACAGTGTACAAAAAAAAATTATATTTATAGGCATTACAACTTTTTTTTTTGATAATAATTATTTTTTCGGGTCGACGAGAAACATCTGTGTTGATTCTTGACCTTTTAAATAAAAAAAAAATAACATTGCATAATTTGCCAAATTTATCTTCATAAATTTGCAACAGTTTAACATACAATATTTTTTAGGTTGGATAGGAATAATTTTATTAATAGTTTTTTGTTTCAACGCCGGATATAGCGGAAGTTGTTTAGGTGCTTGTTGGTATATTTTAGAAGAAAGATATCCAGAATTACGAAGAAAAACACGAAATCCTTACGGAACAATTGCTCAAAAATCCTTTGGAAAATATGCAAGATATTTAGTATCGGGTTGCATTCAATTTACATTATGCGGAGCAGGAACCGTTTATTTACTTTTAGCATCTCAAATCATTCAAGAACTTTTAAATGATATTTTACCATCAGTTAGTTATTGCTATTGGTTTTTATTAATAGCGGCTTTATTGTTAATTCCGATGTGGTTGGAGTCTCCAAAAGATTTTAGGTAAGAATTATTGTCTTTCTTAAATTACTTATAGTGCATAGCAACAAATCTTATCAAAAACGTATAATGTGTAAAGTTTGTTGACGAAGATAATTTGATAATTAATCTTTATTCTTATTAAAATTCACAAATTTTTAAACCGCTTTTATCAAGTGCATATTTGATATTATGCACTTGATAAATTATCGCGAATTAAATTAAAAAAGTTCTAAATTTAAATTTGGATATGTAGGTACTTCTGTAGGTGACACAATGTGTCCAAAATGTGAAGTATATTTTATATTTTCGTAATTCCGCCCACTTTCGTGGAGAATTGAGATTTTTCAAAACGTTGATATCTAGAAATATGTTTTGAGATGGAAAGTTTCTTATCGAGGACGATACATATATCCTAAGTATTTTAGTTCAGATTTTGATGGGATAGACATTTTTAGTGAATATGATAGATTTGGATGTCATTGGGTTTACGGTGATTTTCTACTTGATTTTTCCACTCCTGGTTCGATTGATGTTAATTGGGAGAGGGAGTTCTTTACTTTGATTTAAATTTTCTTATTTGACAGGTAATTGTGTGTTAATTGTAGTCATGCTATGTAGTAGAGATGTTTGGTTCTTTCATTTTCCATCGCTCCATACGTATGTGTTATATGTTGTTTGTAGTTCAAGGAATACTGATATATATGATTTGTTGTTTGCTTCGTTAATTGTTCGTTAACTATTCTGGCGTGTTGAATGGTGAGGATGGAAGCCAGATTGATGATTGGGAATTGTAATGTATTGGTGGTAATTGTGGTAATGTATTGGTGGTATTTAGTGATGATTTAGTTTCTCCATTGTGACCTTTTCTGTTATTTTTGATAGTGCTGAGAGAGTAGCGGTATTGGTCGATAACTGGAGGGTGGGGAGGGTTCTTTGTTTGGTTTGAAGATTTTGGTAATTGTTGTGGTTTTCCATGAAGTTAGAGAAAGGGCCTTGGAATTCAAATTAAAGGATGTAACTTATGATGTAGCACAGTTGAACAATGGCATTACGGATGAGGTGATGTAGAGAATGTTTTGAATGTTATCGAGGACGGGTATTTTGAAAGATTGGGATAATTGTTGTGGTTTTCCATAAAGTTGGAAAGTGTTGATATTCAAGGATATATCCTGTGATGTAGCACAGCTGAACAATGGCATTACGGAGGAGGTGGTGTTTTGAATGTTTTCGAGGCTGGGTACTTTGAAAGATTTTGTTTCTGGATGGTCAACACGATTTTTGAGGGGGTGATTAAGATTGAGAGATTTTTTCAGATATACTGTTTTGTTCGGCTGTTATGGCCTTGTGTTTGTCGGTGATTTTGGTCATTTTGTATGTTTAACGCAGGTATTGACTTGAATTTGTTTTTGATTTTATGAATTATGGTCCAGATTAGTGATGGAACGGATAGTGATTTTGCGAAAAGCTAGATACCGGATATTCGGCATCCCTTTCGGCCGAATATCCGTTCCACCTCTAGTCCAGATGCATTTGTCTTTGGCATTTAGGGATTGGCGTTTCTTTAGACTAAGTTCAGATCGAAGAATTAGGCTTTGGTGGAGATATTTCGTGTTGTTTGGTATAATCGTCAGGTTGAGATTCTGTTTTTATAAGCGTAACGATTTGTGCGAATCTTGTTTGGTTGTAAGAGGGATGGTTTTGGCTTTTGGTTTTGTGATAAGTATCGTGGAAGAAAGGTGGTCTACTACTGTGTCGAGGATCTTAACGTTGTTGAGTATAACTTGGGTGAGTGATGACGTATGCTCTTAAAAACTATTCAGTTGTTCTTTCTGTAATCAGAGGATTCGGTGTTGACGGTTGAGGACTATTGAAACTTTCCATAAATTCACAAAGTTCAATTTCAATACTTCACGTTGTATCGTAAAAACGGCTTTATTCTGACTTTCAACCAACGTCAAATTAATAATATGTATAATGATCCATAATGATCTTTGAAAATTTGTATTAAATTTTTTTTCACCATAGAAGCTTAAAACTTGGTAAGACTCAACCTCAAGCAATACTCTATGACATCAAAAAGTGTGGTTCCTTAAATCCTAATTGTTTTGGGGAATACAATTTTTTCCTTAAACTGAGTTGCAATACTAGTCAACCTAAGAGGTGATTTTAAAATTTTTTATAAAATGTATTGTATATATCGAAACATAAAATGTGGTAAGAACTAACTTCAAGCGATGCTTGAAGAAGTTTAATTTCTAAAATATTAATTGTTTCGGAGACTGGTCCTTTTTTAAAATCTGATATCCTTTTTGTGTTCCTTTATAAAGCACTCGCAGTTCCACCCGATTTGTCTTTCACAATACTTCCTATACTTGCACGACAGTTTTGAGACTCTTAACCCGTTTTGTACTTTGCTGACAGCTCCATGTCGCACCATCAGATGAAACCATCAGTTTAACTACTTAGCCAATACATTGTCAATTGCTTCTTTTTACCCCGTCATATAATCTCCTCGTTCTTTTCCAACGAATGCGAATGACAAACATCTTTTGTTGTGGGTAGTGGTGTAATGAAGCTTGTTGGTATTTTTGTTCGTTATTGTCCAATACACTCAGTACATTGCTAATCACTAATAAATCGAGGAGTAGTAGTTGGTTGTCTTTTCTTCATGTTTAATTGATTTAAGATGTCGTTAAGCCTGTGTTTGATATGTTGTCAGATAGTGAAGATATGATCCACAATTTTGGTATTTAAGGACTGGTTTCTAAAGCCACTGCTTAACGGCTACTCATGTTGCTTAGAAGAAATCAGCAATTCCTCAGGTATTAATTTTCTTTGTAAGCTCTCCACGGCTCTTTTAACCGATACTTTGCAAAAAAAGCTCCATTTCTTCAATTTTGACCGTTTTGGAGACAAGGATGTTTTCTTCAATACAACTTATACCAGATGACAAATTAAATTATCGTCTGTACATCGTTTAATAAGTTCGTGTCCTCCTCTTTTTTACTCGATCAATATTTCTGTTTGAAAAGTTCTTGATTTCACCAGATATATTAATTTTCACTCATTAAAGTCGAGTACATTTTCTCGATTTTTTCCAATAATGTTATAAATATCCGAAAAAGTTGAGTGTAGGTAGTTAATTCTTTTATGTAAATGTATAATGTATAAATACTTAGTAGGATCTGTATCTTAAAGTGATAATAATACTTTAATAAATCAGTTATTAAATTTAATAAATTAATTTCTTGAACATTTTAAGTATTATCTAAACAATTTTGAATTTCTTTTTATTTTCAAAGTGCATAGCAACAAATCTTATCAAAAACCAATTAATAATATGTAATAATATTTGTTGACGAAGGAAAGATAAAACGTGTTCATCATGTGACAAATTTATCTGTTCTTCTTAAAAACTCGATAAAGTAGCAATTTCTTTTTTTTTGTTATAGAGCTGCCGGTGTTATCGCAATTTCTACAACTACAATAGCATGTATTTTATTTTTTTCCCAAACAATAAAAGACGGATTATCAAAGACTGAACCAATCGTACACTACAAACATGATTTTTCCGACTTTTTTCTCGCTTTCGGAACATTACTTTTTGCTTTTGGAGGTGCATCTACTTTTCCAACTATTCAAAATGATATGCAAGATAAGAAAAAGTTTGGATATAGCATTGTGATAGCTTTTTCTGGTAACAATATTTAATAATTAAATAAAAAAAAGATTTTAAAACATTTTTTTTAGTTATAATCGCTTTATATTTACCAGTAGCTTTATCGGCTTATTACGTTTACGGTGAAGATTTATTTCCAAACGTAGCAATGTCGATATCAAAATCAATACCGTTAACAATCGGGAATATTTGTATGGCTGTGCATTTAGTTTTTGCATTTTTAATCGTAATCAATCCGGTTTGTCAAGAGTTAGAAGAAATTTTTAAAGTTCCACATGGTATCTAATAACATTAATAAATATTAATTTAATAATTTTTTTATTTATATACTTATTTTGTAGTATTTTGTTGGCAACGATGTCTCTTAAGAAGTTTCATGATGATTTTTATGGTTTTCGTGGGAGAAAGCATCCCACAATTCGGAAAAATCTTATCATTAGTCGGTGGTTCAACAATCACGTTATTAACTTTTGTATTTCCACCAATTTTTTATATGAAATTGTGTAGCCAAAAAAGTGAGCAGTGGCCTGAAAGGTATTATAATTTATTTTATATTTTTTAAGCATTATACCAGCCATTTTATTCTAGAAAAATTCCTGGATATATCAAAGTATATCTTTGGGAATTAATCTTAATAGGTATTTTAGGAGGGGGAGCATCTACGTACACTGCTATAACAGATATATTTGGACCAGGATCTCTTATAAAACCTTGTTATTTACCAGATCATTCACAATAGTAATATAATAAAACCAGAATAAAGTTCGAATTCGTCAAATAGTCATTATAAGAAGTATTTATAATATTAATATAGGTTTTTTAATGTTAAAACTGTATCCATTTGAACATTTTGAGTTGTAAATGTGATATTTACATGTGATTTTTAAGAATAAATGTTGAGACTATACATTTTTTTGTTAGTTTGATATCGGTGATAAATGCTTATTATGCATCAAATTTTCGAATTATTAGTAAGTACAAGAAAGTAAAGAAGAGTAAAATAAAGGAAAAGATTGGCATGATCCATCAATGGTATACTTGCAGCACAATGCTAATTCTATGACATATAAAGTAAATGTATTGCGAATGTATTTAATGCCTACAAATCTTTTATTTTGTTGGGATTCGTGTCATTCCACATACGCAACACTAAATGCGGACGAAGAACGTGTGACATCATCGTGAAGGCCATTTCGTTATTTTTATTTTTGTTTTCCTAGATGAATATTTCATTACGTAATACACTTTGTTCATTTTTGTAAGGCGCACCAGATTCTCCTAAGTTAGAAAAGAATAACATTCTTCTTACATGATCAACTTTACTTTAAAAATCTTTATAAGTGTATTAATCTTTGGAAAACCATGACTGGAATGAAAACATATACATTATATAAAATGTAACATGAGCAAATAACGTAATTTATATAAAACCATTTTTTCTTAAGTTTTCAAGTAAGGCTCATGTTGAGCCTTACGATCAAAGCCTTGACCATTCCCAACCCAATTACTCTTTTCTGGTGGCTATCCTGAAAAGTTTCGAGCAATCTAATGATGAATCGTTAACCCTTCCTATAATATCCGATAAGCTAAAAGATTGGTAATGAAGGATTCTAGGCTACTGATGGGTTAAGAACACGAATACAAGGAGACCTGCCGAGATACTGCAAAAAAATTTTAATATCTACAGCAATTTGACACTTGGGGTCAAACTGGCTGAAGGGTTTCAAAATACATAAAAGGCACATGGAGCACCTTCATCGCCGAAAATCGAGAAACCTTTTATACTCCAAACATGCGTTAGCAGCAAAATATAGCAGTGGTCCTATACTGGGATAGAAAAATAAAAGAAAACTTGTTGGTTTTTTGAGTACCTTTCAATTTGATAAACGAGAAGAATTGCCAAAACGACTTGCAATGTTTAGCCGTGGTTTGGTGGTTCAGAATGCGAAATATACATATATTGACAGTGATTACTGATGCAGAAGAAACAAACCTAAGACTTGAAATATGTTACTACCTCTTAAAAGTGAATAATCCATTCATAGTGAATAATAACTATATATATTGTCAGCTTAAACCACGCTGACAAGGTAAAGAAAGCCAACATCTAATCCAAGAGAATTTACATCAATATCCAAGTTTTCGTTCTTATGATGTTTCATTTATCTAGCTGTTGTTGTTGAATGGTGTGTTCTGGAAGATACAATCAATGTTCAAGAGCATAACCTTATCCCGAATTAAGTATGTTGCTTACATCGAAAGACTATTATACAGGATAATTAATGATTTTGAAAATTAACGTTGCATTGCCACTACATTCACTTTATATAACTTACAAGATAAGATAGGTTTTCCTTATAACATCTTCATGGAATATAGCCAACATAGTGGTAGCGAAGAAGTAGCGATGAAAGCAACATCTACCGATTGGTAACTTTAATTTTAGGAGATACACCCAACACGGACGTACGTATAAGTATACTTGTGTGTGTGCATATGCGCGCGGAGTATGTTTGTGGGAGGGGAATCGCAAGAGTAGTGGATCGGAGAGCAGTCAGTCGTTTGACATCGTTCAATGATAAGAAATATTATAAAAATAATAACTAATATAATAAATGAAATTCAAATAAGACAAAGCAAATTCTTAATTCTATATAAATTCTTTTATATTAGGTGTTCAAATAAACCACCATTCTGTGCTAAACAATAGCCCAATCTATCGTAAAAAGTTCGCCTTACATTCGTTAGTATATCGGGACTAATATAATGTATACAATTGCGAATTTTTGTTTGTAAGTCATCCAGATTGGTTGTCCTTTCTTCATCAAAACCATAAATTTTCGATTTTAAATATCCCCATAGAAAAAAATCATTGGGGGCTAAATCTGGTGATCTAGGCGGCCAAGTTAACGTTCCGCAAATAGATATTACACAATTTGGAAATTGTGCGTTAAGATACTCTTTAACTTGCCGGTTGTTGTGAGCCGGGCAACCATCTTGTTGGAACCAGATACTTCCAAATTGAACATTGTCTAATTGTTGAAGCGATGGGATTACGTCATTTTGCAAAATGTTTAAATACTTAAGTGCCTTCTATGAAAAAAGGACCGAAAAAAAGGAACTGCTTGACTGATTTTTATTGCGTTCAACATCAGCACATACCTTCGTAATTTGTGTTTCTGTGGAGACACACATCCATGTCGCTCAAAGTTTTTAATAATATTTGAAATTGTTCCGCGACTAGGAATTGATCTGTTTTCATAGGCCACAGGAAACAAATTAATTATTTGGGCTACAGAATTGCCACCATAAAACCATTTTATAATCTGTACCTTTTCCGCTACAGTAAACAACATCTTAGTTTTTTTTTGCTAGGGTTAACTGCAAAGCGATGCGACCAACTTCGCCTCTCAACAATCTATGAACGATTCAATTTGTGCATTACCCCTACGCTTGTTTATCCTCCACTTAACGACACCGAATATACACACACACGTATACTTATACGTACGTCCGTGTTGGGTGTATCTCCTAAAATTAAAGTTACCAATCGGTATAAGACAAAACTAGAAAAATAATATGTTAGCCAGTAGAACCATTCATTTCGAGATTCGCCTTACTTATAATTATATTTTAATATTATATATTTATTAATATTATATATTATAAAACTATGTTTTAAAAGAAACATAGTTTGCAATAGTAATGATAAGTGGTTCATCAACTTGACTTTGAATTTGGCTTTTGCTGTCATTTAAATTCTATGTTTTACCTACTTCTTCAACCCGAACATGTTTCTATCTCTTGTCGTTTGGTTATACGAGGAATAATGTCTAATGTATTGACGAATGTCGGCAAAAGTATCTGGAGGTCGACCAGAAGATTATCGACAAACTGAAGAAGTATAAATATGTGGTAAATATGTATATGTCTCTGGAAATCCATATAGTGAAGTCAAACACGAGTCATCGTATGGAACAACAAATACCTTAAAGTGAAAAATAAAGTAAGAATCTACGTATTAGCAATAGTAGCAATAGTAGTTAGTAATAACATACATGGCTGAAACAAGACCAGATGCGAACAGGCTAAATGAAAATAATAAGAAGCATTCATGAAAAAACACTATATGATAGAGTCTGAAGGAAAACCCTACGACAACAAAGTAACATACAAGATGTAGGAAAATGGATAGGAAACTGAAGAACAAACACGTAAATGGAATGAACGACAGTAGGCTGGCAAGAAGTGCTAAATCAAATAACCCTGTAGGAAAAAGCAATCACAGAAGGCCGCCAAAACGCTAGAAAAATTAGTGGATAACTACATTCGGAGAGGAATAGGAAGAAAACTGGTAGGGTTATCTTTGATATTTGTGGTCTACCTACCATGCGTAGAAAGAAAGAAAGAAGTAGTTAATAAAAATTAATAAAAAGACAGTTATTGATGAAAACCAGACTGTAGTGAATAATCCACAGTTTTAGGGCTGCTATCCATTCTTTTAGAATCCTGCCAAAAAATTCTGTTTTCTGGTAAGTCCAAATTATTAATGCTTGATTAACATTGCCCTTTAAATTGTTAAATAATCTATTTTATTCATTGTTAAGTCAATAAACACTAGATTGCAGACACCTGGCGCCGTCATAGAACCCCGAGATAAATTTTTCTTACAAAAAATTTCAAACCTACCCTCATCAGTGAGTAATATATTTTCCAAACATTTTAAACTACTTTTTGATGCTCTTTGTGAACTCTATACGCTTTTGTTGATTTCCTTTTAATATTGTATAAGACTTTTATGTGGTGTTCTTTTATGTAGACCGTTTCTTTGAAGCGCCCTTTTTTATACCGATATGTCTGATGTTTTTGACATTTCGTTATCTCTTTGAGCTGCATTTAAGTGGAATCTTGGGTGTCTATAAGACGGTTTGGCCATCCAAAGCATTTTAAACTCTTCTGCAGTACAAAGTCTAGCATATTTACCAATGCTTTTCTTTTCGTGCACACGATTCCTTCAATTACGCCCAAAAATTTATTATTTTTGTATAAATCTATCATAATTTTCTGGGAAGCAATGGTAGTATCCTTTCTCATAGAGAGGTTCGATATATTTAAGCAATTTTGAAAACATAACAATTGAAAATTATGAACAGAAAAGTTTATCATATTTCACCAGTTGCATTGGAATAGTTTTCGAAAAGAAAATTGTGGTACTTCCTCGAAATATAAAATGATGACAGCAAATACATCCGGTATACTTTTTTTTGACGCATAAAAATCGAGGTATTTTTACCTTAACCCTTATAACACCAGATTAGTTTGTGACTTATAATTTTAGAATTTCCAGTGACCACATGGTATTATAAGAGTTAAAGGGATTTTGCTTATCTATTTTTATAAACAAAAATTTCATGTTTAAAGTCGTTATTTTTGGAATTTTTATTATCATTTAATAATAGCTTATGTTAGTAAAAACCGAATTTATACGCCGATGTTCTTTGAGTTACCTACAACATTGTTATTACAACATTGATAGAATTTGTTTAAAATGTTTTGAAAATGATTCATTAAGAAACTAAAAAAAGGAGATATTTTTGCTTTTCAATTCGATTTTTGAATACTTTTTGTAAAAATAATTTCTGTATTGAAAATTTCCATTTTGTACTTTTCATTTCTAGATGGCGTGAAAAGGCTTTAGTCACACTTGGAATATTTCTAAATCGATAGTTTAAATCCGTTGCTCATCGCATCGCTATTTAGGGCTGTAAATCTAAGTGAAAAAATACAACATTAATACTTATATTACAAATAAGAAGACAATTAAAAAAAATGTTCGATTACGACGATGATTATTTTTTAGAAGAGGATAAAATGTAGGTGAAACCTAACAATTACACCAATCTATTGATTTTATTTCATCCTGAGTTTTAGTTGTATATAATTTTAGGATATTAGAGTAGAACTTTTAGTAGATTAGATTTTTTCTCCTCATCCTTAAGTTTTAAAAATCCATCTTGATGTTTTTTCCAAAGTAAGTCATCTACATTTTCATTTTATTTCATTAATTTTTTGATTTACTTTTTAATTTTGTTAATTTATTAAACTAAAGAAAAGAAAAACATATGGTTGTTTTTGTTTCATAGCAATATTAGGTTTGTTATCATAAAACGAACATAATTTTCATAAAGATACGAACTTCCGGTCGACTATCAACGTTTAGCTTTTTTGTTCTTTTTCACTTAATTTTATGTTGTTATCCAGCAAACACAAAGTTAAACGATTTATATTTATTTTTTTATTTACAAAAGCGGTTCGTTTTTTGGTAAAAAGTAACTATTTCTTGACATCTTTGTCAAATTAGTGCAAAAAATGTGGTTTTAATGTAGTGAAGTTATGTTTTCGTATTATTACGAATCATCATTGTACGATCTTTACATTTTGGAAATGGCGAAAGAGGATAAACTGTAAATATTTACATTTTTCATTTATTTTTAATTTTAATTATTTTAATTTAAGTAAAATGCTTGAGTTTTTAAAAATTTTTTATTCGGTTAATAGTGTTAAGTGAAAACGCAATTTATATTATTAAGTCAAGAAAGCAAAGAAAATGGACCCAAAAACAACGCCGTTAATAGATTTGTAAGTAATATTCATTAATGGATTATTTTACTTTTATAAATAATAATTTTTAGAGATTTAGATTTTAATACAAATCATGAATCCATCCAAAACATCTCAAAAAACGTAAACACCGAAATATGTGGACAAAACATTCAGGAAGAATCCGTAAATGGTGTTAATAACCAAGAGAAAGTTGATTTAACTTCGATTAAATCAAAACCACACAATGTTTTTGAACCTGATTGTAAGGTTTTATCGTTTGAAATGGCCGCTTTTGATTATGTTCCACGTGAAAATTCAATGTAAGTGAGGAAAAAGTTGATTTATAAGCTAGAATATTAGTAGCTAGAATTTTAGTTCTGTATCTGCACGCCAAAATTTACCAATACCTTAGCAAAATCAAGAAGAAGAATCAAAGAAAACGAAGATATAAATTAGAAGAAGTTATTTTATTTTATTATTTAGTAGCATGGCTTTTTTATACACAAAATAACACGAATTTGAAATCACTTTTGAAAAACACGTTATAACACAACCATCTTTTTTTAAAACACATTTTTTATTTATAATTTTGTAAGCACTAGAAAAGTGAAGTTAAAATGTATTTAGTTCTTTTTTTAGTCTAAAATAGTTGTGCTAGCTTAAATAAAATTATGTATCTAAATAAAACTTGTGTTTTTATTTAAATAAGTTTTAAAAAAATCTTGACCCATCAAAATTAACTACCTATATAAAATACCAACCAAATATTTCAACATTTTTGTCTTTATTTTTAGGGGAATGACGGTAACATCTGGCAGCATTACTATCAGAAAAGATTCGAATAATCTAATCGGAATTAGTATCGGCGGTGGAGCTCCATTGTGTCCTTGTTTATACATTGTGCAAATTTTCGATAATACAGCAGCGAGTCGTGATGGAACTTTACAATCCGGTGACGAATTGGTTGCTGTTAATGGACAAGCGGTTAAAGGAAAAACGAAAGTTGAAGTTGCGAAAATGATTCAAGCTGCGAAAGATGAAGTTATTATTAATTATAATAAATTGCACGCTGATCCCCGACAAGGAAAAAGCCTTGACATTGTTTTAAAAAAAGTTAAACATCGTCTTGTTGAAAATATGAGTTCTTCAACAGCCGATGCTTTAGGTTTATCAAGAGCTATACTTTGTAACGACACTTTGGTGAAAAAATTGCAAGAATTACAAGATTGTGAAGTTATGTATCGCGGATTGGTTGATCACAGTAAAAGAGTTTTACAGGTAATTTGAAAATATTAAAAAAATAAATAATATTTAAACTTTCCACGAGTCGATAAAACAATAACATTCTATTGTACTTTAAAGTTAGCACATTTGCTATTGTGTGATAATTTTTATTTGAAAATACATTTTTAGTTACCAACGTGAGAATTGGATGAATAACATATTAGTGTGTATTCACAAAGTTATTTCAAATTAAAAAGTAATTCCTATTTTTAATAGACAAAATAAAAAGAAAAAAATGAGAGGAATTTAAAACCTTGTATGTACAAACTTTTTTTTTTTGCCTTGAATTTAATACACCGTGATCACGTTGTTAACGCATAAACCGGAATAAATCGTAAAATAATTTTTTTCTTAAGGAAAAACCTTGAATATAAGAATAGATTAACATTGATTTAAATTTTCACGTAAGATTCAATATTTGCATCTCGAAAATTAAACCTAATTTGTCAACATAACCTATTTAATGAGTACAGAAAATGTAATAAATAGAATAGTGGAAATAAAAAGTTGGGTATAAATCAGTAATCTATAAATTTATCCATGCATCAGCATGTAAATAAGTGTAAATAGTCTTCTTAATGCATAAGCCCTAAGTAAGTCGTTTCTATGCAACTCATTCTCAGAAAGATATTCTGGTCACCATTACTTCCAAGAACGTTGTGCTATTGGCTGCAATTTTGAATTAATCGATGTAGGTTGATTAATGATGCTGATCAAATCTTTGTTGACATCTTGCAAATTAAACATTTGTTAAAAATTGGTTTAGGATGTAGACAACTTCCTCTTTTTCTGTTTGTTTGCATGAAGAGCCGAATTTCCAGTGTCCACCGTCTTTGCTTAAGTAATCCATGTTCACACAAATATAACGGTGGGATTGAACAAATCAAATTTTTTTTTGGAATTTTATATGGAAGCAGGAGAAATGTTCACTTTTTGAATATTGAGTCAGTAAAACCATACGATTGTACGAGGCTTTTATGATGAATTAGTTGGCAGTGATTATCATATTCAATACACTTGACAGTTAAATCAACATGCTTAATTGAACTTGTGAACAACATGCTCCTGTTTCGAGTAGGAAAGCTATTTATGTTTGGACTCTTAACTTAAAAAATCGTGGGCCAGACAATAAGAACATTTTGTGGTGCAAGAACTGTTAGGACTCCCGAGAATATAGAGACTGTAAGAAGTCCTTAAAGAATTGCAAGTCGTCATAACTCATTTCCACCTCGCCAGAAATGTTAATAAACATAACTTTCGCTATTAGGCCGCTGAAGACCCTCATCAACTTCATGCACAACCTCTCCATTCGGCCAATATTACAGCTTGACGTGCGATGTCTTCGAATAACACAATTGGCCCATAAGTCTTTGAGAATGATGTTGGCTATGCAGTTACCGTAACATCAGCTCGATATGTTCGAACGCTAGAAACCTTTTTCATCCCACAAGTGGCTATGAATGAGAATACTCATTTCCAACAAGGTGGAGCAACTTTTCATACAGCTAGGGCTACATTGAACTTGCTTAGAGAATTTTTTCACTTTATCGGTAAAAATGCGAATATTCATTGGTCTCCACGATGAATGATGCTGGCCATCTTTCTCAAGTAATATTAAAAAATTATTTTTTTGCTTTACAAATAATTTCATCTTATCTCTTAACATTTGTTGCAAAATTAAATTTATGTTTTATAATACGTTTTTAATAGTTTTAAATAGTGCGGATTGACTGTCCAACCCTGTATAAGTTTTTCTTCTGATATCTCCAATTTCAAAATGTCTTGGAAACGATTTTTGAAATCAGTGTGGAGTTTCTCCAACTAATAGCAGTAAACAAGCAAGTCGTCGTTGTTGAAGAATGCTGCTAATAGATTAAGGATTTTGTAAAACACATCTGCCGATATTTTTTTGTGTAGAAGCAGTTTGACTACGAAAACAGTAATGACATTGAGATTCATATAATTAAACAATTTATACAGCTCCGTCATACAATTGTGTGTCTTTGTTTCCAACAACCTCTCGATAGCCATTAAACAATCTGTCGTTTAAAGAGCTATTTCGGATTTTGTTGACTGCTTTGATGATATGTTGCAGTGGTTGAAACGGTAGTTCACTCAAATTCCTCACAACCAAATGTAGTCGCTAGATAACGCAATGTACAGCTAGGGATTGCAATTCCAGGCAAGTTTTACAATCCCGGAATTTCTGGATTAAAAATATTTTATCCTAATAAATCAATTCATTATACTACTTATTATAATTTGTTTATATATTTTTAATTGTTTTTTCTTTTTGAAAATGTGCACGGAGGAATAATAGTGCATCAAAGGTTACATCATTTAACATACTTCTTATTTTATTTCCTAAATATGCAGCAGCAGAAAACGCCCGCTCAGGTTCAATACTTGCTGGTGGAATTGACAACAAATATTGATACACTAATTCTAAATTGTGTCCTCGGTATCCACCGTTTCAAACAGATTCATTTCCTTCCTTATTGTTGCCATTAAATTAGAAGTTTGTGTTTTTGGTTCAAAGGCCTTTTCAATTTCTTCTTGCAACTTTTCTTTTAATGATAAGGGTGCTCGAATTGGTGATTCTTCATTTTGATCCACTTCCATATTGTCTTCCACATCTTTATTGCAACATGTTTTTAAATTATCTTTTTAGTCTTTCAACAAGTTTTTTTATCTGCTTCTCAATAACGGTTCGAGAAGGAATTCCAAAAATTTTACAAACATTTGTCTCGTCATTCTCGATATTATATTTAGGATTTTGAAGGTATTTTAATACACCAGAAATTTCTGCATGGCGTCTTTTTTCCATACGATTTTTTAGTGCTTGGAACATTTTATTAGCAAAATTAGACTGGTTTTCAAAAATTTGGCGAAATAAAAATATTAATACAGCATCTGCCGTACATAAATTGGCGTCTCGTCTACACAACGCATCTACAGGTAATTTAATTGGCTTAAGTACTTAAGGGCAAAATCATTTTCGTTTAAGGAAATTGGGCAGTTTGAGTCAATTAAAGCTTTTAGTATGCATGGTTTTAAATCAAAAAAACGTTTCAATATGGATAATAGAGTATTCCATCTTGTCTTGCAATCTAGAATAAGCGAAAGTTCCTTACCTCTCTCTGCTATAACATATTTCTGTAAGACTGTATCATTTTTTGTAGGAGATCGTTTAAATAAAACAACTACTTTGCGAACTTTTTTCACCAAATTCTCGATATTTTGTTCATCAAAGAGTATTGTAGTCTCATCATATGTTGGAGGAACAAAACTAAGTCCCATATCTACGTCGTTATCTTCTTTCTCGTCGTTTCTTCCAACGGTGCTTAGGAGACGGCGACTTGCGTATAACATTTTTTATACAAAACATCACAAACTGCAAGGTGAATTCCATGTACTAAACACAACTGATATTCAGCCTGAACAAGTTGTCCAACACGAACCATTACATTTGGACCATCCGTAACAATAGCAACAATGTCTGTATCAATATTCAAATTAAGCTCGTTTAAACGACTTTTTAATACTTCTATGCATTTCTCAGCAGGTATAGACCCATATTCACGAATAAGACCCAAATTCCAATGTTTACCTTTCGATCTTCCACTTTTTCTTTCTGACTTTTGTCCATTTTACTACATCTTGTATGTTACATCTTTCTCTCTGATAGAGGTGTTGGTCTGCCTATCTCGCAGTGTCACATTCAACATATATCTCAAAACTTTCATCTCTATCACCCTCATCCTCTGTTTAGTCTTCTTTGTTGCTGCTATCGTCTCGGTACCATATGTTAGTATGGGTCGTACCATCGCTTTATATATTTTCCTTTTTCCTTCTATAGGCATGTATTTGTTCCGCCATATAGTTTTCCTTAGACTGCCTGCCACTTGTGTCGCTCTTGTAACTTGTGCTTCCTTACATAGATCTCGATAGCTTGTAATTTCTACACCTAGATATTTAACATGCATAACTTGTTCTATTATAGAGTCTTCAACTTGTAGTTTGCAGCGTCTTGGTTCTTTGGATATTACCATAAATTTTGTTTTCTCCATTGATATTTTTATATAGTATTGCTATGTTGAAGTGATACACTAGTCTTTGCAGGAGTTGTAATAAATCCTTCTAAAATTATCAGAATGTACAAATAAAATTATACAATATTTGATCATTTTTCAAAATATTATCTAGTTTTTGAGATATCAACTTTCAAAATCAACCAATTCTTTTCGCTTTAAAATAGGATGGCTTAAAAAGATCATATCGATTTATTAAGATATCATTTTGCAATTCGCAGAAATTATACAAGAAAGTCTCAACTTTATAATTGAAGAAAGAGTTTTTAAAAATGTTTACTAGTTTTTGAGGAAAACAGATTTAAGAATAAAGATTTTTTATGGTGGACATTTTTCAGTGCTAATACTTATTCTATATATCTTTTTGGGCACAAAAAGAAATAAAACTTTTCAATACATCATTTTCTCAGACATTTTGTCATACATACATTTCAGAACAACTCAAGCTTCAGGAACTTTTTATAGTTCACTATTCATTAGTTACAAATTAGACTTTAGTATCCACTTTACTATTATCTTTACATCCAGATTTAAATTTATCGGATATTGATTAAATCAGCATTTTAATTAGAATTCCTTTTTTAGTGAATTCTGCCGAATTTACTGACATACATTGTCAAGATTGCGATAACAAACTTACTCAAGTATGTTTATACACTGATTTAGAGAACACTATCTCGAGTGATCATTATTCAACCAGCTCATTAAACTTGAACTTGCTAAAAAAATTGTTTCTTTTTTTAAGGCACATATTGATTTACAACAAGCTGTAAAAGCAATGGGAGATGTTTTTGCTTCATTAGCCGTAAGGGAACCACAACCCAGAGCAAGCGAAGCATTTCGTTTATTCGCCGAACAACATAGAAACATGGAAAAAGTAGGAAACGATGTCGTCAAAAAAATCAAACCAGTCCTCTCCGATATGGGAACTTATTTATACAAAGCAATTCCCGATACAAGATTAACCGTAAAAAAATATGCAGACGCTAAATTCGAGTATTTAGCATACTGTTTAAAAGTAAAAGAAATGGATGATGAGGAATGCGGTTACGCTGCTTTGCAGGAGCCGTTGTATCGCGTTGAAACGGGAAATTACGAGTATAGATTGATTTTGAGATGTCGACAAGTTGCTAGAGAAAGGTTCGCTAAATTAAGAGCGGATGTTTTGGTTAAAATGGAACTTTTAGATAATAAACACGTTCAATCGCTTGGTGGACATTTATCGAAACTTATTAAAGGATTAGCCGAGTTGCATACGAAAACTGTTGAGTTATTAGCTGGACCACCTTTATTTCCTGTTGAAGTTGATTTATCTAATAGTGCTTTTCAATATAAATCAACAACTCCTATTGCAGCAGTAAGTTAATATTTAAGTGAAACATTAATTAATTTAATTTTTATAGGATTCGGAACAAAATGACGAAGAAATTGAAAATGGAATCGAAATTAGAGAAAATTTAGCTGAAGCATTAATCGAAGATTTGCCAGCTCCTACGAATGAAAATGTCGAACAGCCTTTAATTCCAGGACTAGAACCCGTTCAATCAGAACCTGATTATAGCAACATGGATAATTTAACACTTTTATCTACATTGAATATTCAAGAAAGTAGTAATATTGATTTATTGCAAAATGTGAAGTGAATTTATTTATAATTATTTTAATTACTGTTGTTTTAGTTTATAAAAGAAATATAATCTTCTAAAAATAAATCATTTAACACTTTGATCTTCTTATTTTTCCCAAATATTTTCAACTTTGCCCTTGAATTTTAACAAGGCTTAATTTGTACACTATGTGATTTGTAAATTTTAAAAATTGTTGCTATGCACTTTATGGAACTCGTTATTTTTAAATTGTTACAACGTTTTGTGAAACTCATAACGTGACACGATGTTTTCAACGTAAAATAACATCATGAGAACGTTTTGATAATTCAAATAAAACTTTATTGCGTTATCAAAAATTGTAAAATGACTCTACATTATTCATACCTAAGTACGTAAGATAATTTTTAAATGTATTCTATTCACGCAATCAATTGCGTTGTCTTTTCGCATTCCATCGAGTTTATTTGTATGGGTGAATGCAATCAACAACAGTTTATAAAACTATTGCACAGTTCATAAAACTATTATTGCATAGTTTTAGAAATACTATTAAGTGTGTCAATACTATTAATTATTCTTAAAATGTTGGAAGGAAAAAATTCCATTTAAAAAATCTCCATCAATTTATTAAGGTTTATTGGTTAAAATTGATTGATATTTTCAATTCAACAACCGTCATTGGGTTCTCATGTTCATTGTTTCCATATGAAAGTAATTTTATTAGATAGTTATTTTTATTAACGATTTTTTGTTATTTATATTTAATTCGTAGATTAAACGAGATTTATTAAAACCATGATTTCTAGAAAATATAAAATGCTCCATGATTTTAATTATTACATAAAATATTTTAGATTTCTCAACAAGTTTAAGGTCACGAGTCATTTAAGAATCCTTTAAAATTAAATAATAATTTAATTAGAAAACAAACTTGTTTGACTCAAACAAAGCTATTATTATTAATTGACAATGATTGTCTTTTCATTATCACTAGGTCAGTATTTACTCATCCAGATAATAAACTTATTTAAAAAAAATATTTAAAAATCCATTTTTCTGATATTAAAATAATTTTTTATATCAATATTTTCATTAAAATAATTGTTTTTCGAAAAAATTAATAAAAATAGTAATGCCGGATAAAATAAGTTTATTTAATAAAAACATTATTAAAATTTTAAAAATATCACCCAACCTCAAAATATCTAAACCGAACCAGTTGTTTCAAGAACTTTACTCCCGGATTATTCATTCGATTATAAGACTAAATTGTTATGAGTTTATCTTATAATTAATGATTTTAGTTTCAATTTGAGATAAAATTCATTCGAAGGGGAATAACCGAAGGGAATAATTCGAAGGGGTTAAGGGGAATTAACCCTTAATAAATTTAATATTATCTGAGTTTTATAATTTTTTACAATTATTAAAATGTCAAGAAAATTGAAAGTGAATCTAACTTTGTTTTGGACGTCAAGATGCAATTTTAATGATACATATATTTTTATTCATTGAAAATATAAGTCAATAAAGATGTTAAGTCACATTTATACCGTTTCAATGTAAATTAAAGGTAAAAGTATTGGTCGATCAAAAGTGTGGGATGAAACACTGGAGACAGTAAGGGGCAGTTTCACGCGGTCTCTACAAATATCCACGTCCCGAGAAAGTCTCGAGCTAACTATACCACAAAACAGGATGACAATTGACAGGATGAACCTACAAAATGTGTTCAAAATCACTCAACTGCTTAAAAAACATAAACAAGAAAAAGACAGAAACAGAACAAATAGAAAGTGAATAGACTAGTCTAACAAAATAATACATTTTTAGGAATTGCAAAGAATTAAGATAGTTCCATTTCTGTTTGGTATCATGACTAGCATCTTTCAAAATAGGTCATAAAAGAATTTTTCACAATTAGGCAGAATCGAGAGTCTAGGCTTGATTTGTACAGATAATCCAAAAGTGTCTGTTCTGATTTAATTTACTTCTAAGATCGACTTTTCTATTAAGAGTACTGTTATTTTATAGATACTTTATAATAAACAGTGTTTTTCATCTTGGGACTTCATAGTCTTTATTTAATTTATACTTCGTTCTTCCAGATAATTCGGAATACCCTTTTCTTCTTTCCTTCATATTCCTGGCTCTATTTTACTGAGATTAATTAAGTCTTGTTCTATTTTGATAAGTTGCAAAAATTTTATTCTGGATTCAGTTTCGGATACAACAACGTTTTATCCGGTTTATCCAATTTATCTTTAGCAAATCAAATGTTATAGGTGTCACTTTTTAAATTTGATAAATTAAATTTGATTTGAAAAATATGTCCGATTTGATTTGGATTCAAATAATGGACAATGTGCTATGTAGAAATGGTATACTCTTATCACACGGAAAAAAAAATAACTTCCACTTATCTACCCAGGTAGCAACTGTTACACTGTTGGAAATAATTCACAAGCACACCCTGTATAATCTGAACGTGTGAAGATAAATCCATAAAATTTGCAGAGCATAAAAGTTTACTGTAGACGAGTTTATTCAGCGAGTCCTTATAGTATTCATTTCCCCCTTCATGACATTTATTGTCAAACTCTCCAAAAACTACACCAAGTTATTCAACAGAAACGAAGAAGAAATTTTGTCTTCTCGATATATTGTTATCAACCGTGGCAAAAGTAGTATCAATTATATTGGAAATTTTCTGTTTCTCTACCCTTACTGGTGCCGTTTTGCCGCGCACTCTATCACTTTCAGGATAATTACATTTTATGTATGAAACATACAAAACTCTGAAACCCTACAGAATCCATGGGAAGTTTTATACTCTATGCGGAATACAATATTAATCGATCACTCGCCTGCACAAGAATTTTTCCCCTAAATCTTCGAAAACCGCATACAATTGCAGTATTTAAATGTTTAGGGTGTTATAACTTTCTTATATGATGGCTACAATATAGAGATCTCACAGAAACGATAGGAAATTTTCTGGCGTATATTAGTAATCAAAAAGTTCTGTATAGTCCTGTATTCAAAGAGGGGGATAAGCTGATTTGCGAATAATAGAGGAATAACCTTGCTTGTGGTTATGTACAATGTGTTCATGTTCATAGACGGCTAACTCCAGTGGCAGAAACGATCATAGGAGATTACCAGGCTGGTTTTTGAAGTAATCGATCCACCAAACATTCATATTAAGACTAATTCTAAAGAAATGCTGGGAACTTAATATAGACTTTCACCAGTTCTACATCGATTACACAATGGCTTATAATAAAGTAAAACGACAAGAACCTTGAACAATGCTGGAAAAGTTCAAAATACTACTAAAGATACGATAACTGATAAGAGGTGCAATGGGAAGAACCAAGGGTCGATGTAAAAACAATTAAACGATGGTGTAAAACATCTGGATCTGCAAATAAGTGAAGGGAAAAGCAAATATATGATAACAGAACGTAGATTATTTCAAGAGGGAGCAATAAATATCCAGATTTGTAGGTAACAACCTTGAAATGCTGAATGAGTTTAAATATCTAAGCTTCATCATAAATCAAAGTAATAATATCGAGAGTGAAATAAAGGCCCGAATACTAGCAGGGTATAGAGCAAACTACTACGGTCCAAACTTTTAACAAAAGGCTGTCAAGAAAGACTGTACAAGACACTCATAAGTCTTATGGTAACCTATGGATCTGAAACATGGACACTCAATAATCTTCACCAAGAGTTGCTAAACATACTTGTTTTAGACGACTTTCAGACAGAGAGTTATTTTTGGTTTGAAAGAATGATCTTGCGAAGGATATATGGGCCAAAATATGATACAAACTTGGGAGGATGGTGACAATTATTGAACTACGAGATAAGAGAATTAGAGGAACGATCAGAACTATCAACGTGGATTAAAGCCCAGAGACTGAGGTAGGTTGGACACGTGTGGAAAATGCCGGCATAGAAGTGACGCTCAGGGTACTCACTTAAGCACCAGATGGATGAACTGGGACAATTTAGCCTAAAATCGAGACGTTGTAGAAGAGGCTAAGGCTCATAATACGCTGTAGTGCAATAGTGTATATTAGTAATCAATAGCTTGACGTCCAGTTTTAGATGACAAAAAATTCAAGCTTTCTACTGATGTATTTAATATTGCGCTATATCCAAAGACAGCAAAGTTATCTACAAGTGAAGTAGATGGAACTTTCCGAAATTCCTGTTTAAGATAATTTAAACATTTATTGTTACCCAATATTTTATCATACATACTAAGTCACTTAAAACAAATTGGTTATATCATAATATAATAATCTATACCAATTAAATAATGATTTATAACTTCGCAATTACTTTTTCAACTTTACAACAATCTTCGAAATTTAAAAAGCGATAAATTTCTACATAGTAATTTAGTTATAGAAAATCTATTAAAATATCAACTTTTATTTTTAAACCATTTCCTGTTGGTACACGAGAAAACAAAAATCGTTTAAAGGTGTATTACATTTGTCCTAAAATTAATTGCAAATAATTTAAAAACGCTTTTATGTTTACAAAACTCAATAAATATTTTCAAATAATTATACTTTCATCTCAATCCAAAATTATATTTTTCCAACTAATTAATACTAATAGATGTTCTCAACAGAAAAGAATTTCTAAAAAAAATTTATGAAATGATCAACAAAACAACAAAAAGTTCTATTAATCATTATTATTACCCTTAAAAAAACATTTGTCAGTTAATGCAAAACTCTATGACGTAACCATAAACGTTTTAGTATAGATAAAACGAAAACGATAAGCTCAAGTCCTCTCATTTGAGTTAAAACTAACAATCGTGATGGTGTTCAAATCGTCATCGTACGAACGAGCGAACGAACGAACTCTCCGTACGATATAAAATAAATAAGTAGTAGAAAAGGTGGGAAAACCACGTGATATCAGTAAAGCGCGATTCCAGTCGAGTACACGAGCACTCTTTACTTTTATATTCATTCGGGCGGCAGTGACCAACATTTAATTTAAGAAAAGAGTAACAATCAAACGTACTTAAGTTTAGTTTCTTGAAACACAATGCCGAACGTCAAGTGGATTTTATTTACCGACAATGAGTCGAATTACTCTTCATCGACTTCATCAAGATCGACTATGAATTATATTTTTAGTGTTGTTAGTTTCTTGGTTTTGGAATTTTTATGGAAGGTACAACTTGCCGTTGAAAAATATTTTAAATCTAATCAAAAAAAGTAAGTTTAAAATAAGTTATTTTGAATGAAAAAGTTTCAACACGTGGTTTATTTTAAATTTAAAATTTTAATAAATTGACCTCGAACTTGTTTGCAGTTCTTAAAATTTCAAATTTTAGTAAATCTTTTTCCTTTTTATTATCAATAATAAATAACACATTCAACATTTTTCAGTATTACACGATTAAAAAATGTTTTTTAAACCAACTTTCCTCTTACAACATTCTTATAAATAAACACGTGATTTCGCACTTAACAATTTCTTTTTTTTCAAATGCTTCTTCGTTTGCATATTTTATTGTTGTTAATAAGTTGTTTACCTTGGTTACAAAGTACTTCTAAAATCATTTTTTTAATAAACATTTGTATTTTAAATGTAATAAGATTACATTGTGAAGCTTTTCAAGTGGAAAAGAAAATCGAACCTGGAAATATAGATTTTAGTTATTCAGTTTATTGGTTTAAAGTTGTATTTTAAATTTTATTATTAACAATGGTTTACTTTAAATTTCATTGCAATAACTAATAATTTCGAAATTGTTAACGTAATAGTGATAGCTTTCTAAAACGATTTAACAAAGTGATGTTACAATGTTCCTAGGCAATCGATTTTATAAAATCAAAAGTACCTTTCATAATAAAAAATAATATACAGTAATAATAATCAGTTTGAAATAATTTCTTTCAATTTGCTTTAATCGTTGAATCTAACGACGATTAGAAATGATAAAAAATTGTTTTTATCATCGTGTCCACGGTCAAGAAATTTTGTAGTAAATAAATTTAAATCAATTTTTTTGTACAATAAATTTTAACCTTTAAACCTTTATATGGACCGATATCAAGGTATACGAGTTCAATTAATCTTCTATAAATGGATTATCAAGTACATAATAATAAAAAATAAGTTTATTTCAAGTGCAAAGTAGTACACAATTTTTTTTTCGTATTTATCAACGTTTTTTTATCATACCTAAATTATCTACTAAAATAATAATCATAAATAATAATTAATCCTTCATAAAAACCCATGTTTATGGTTATCTATATTTATAAAAAAATATTCCAGGTATTCATAAAGCTATGGAATAAACGTCATGGAACTAAACTGTTATAAGATTATCAATTTAAAATTCCTGCGATTAAATATTAATATAAGGCATTAAAAGTCATTCGTAGAATTTCAATATTCTAAAATTTATTTAAAATCTTAAATTTTATAATTAAACTTTTATGTAATGATTACTTTGCAAAAATTTAAGTAAGCACTTATAGATAGTTGAGTCATTAATAATTTTCTACCACGAGAGTAAATCATGATGGTACAGCTCATAACTTACAGAATTACAGATGCTGCAATAAAATTTAGTTTCGTTCCTAATTTTTTTTGACATTTGCTTCTCTTTTTCTGCAAAGTAGAGCACAATTTGTACAAGGAGCAGCTTTCTTTTAGTGTAGCTGGTACAAATCTAGCAATGTGTCTCTGAGTGAGGAATAAAGGTCCTACTTAATAACTTGGACGACCAATTTTTTTAGTAGTATTACATTTTGTTATCATTTTCTCTATCAGAGTTTTTCAGCATTATAATTTTTTTTGTAATCCACCGTTTTTTATATAAAATAAAGACAGCCTAAAGAGAAAAGCAAAACAGTACACTATATTATAGCTACATGCTGTATCCAGTATGCTGCCGGTCTATTGTTTACTCTTCTCCAAAATTTCCTTTCAATATTGATCATCTTTTACCATTTTATTACCTCCGTGGTCTTCTCCACCTTCTTTTGTTCGGTGAGGTTCTGGCATCTTGATTTTGTGACCAAACCAAATTAAACCCTTTGTTTCTATTCTGGCAAGCGTTGTTATTTTCGTATCCGTTATTTGCTATCTCATTTCTAACTCGATCCAATTTTGATACTCGCGCACTTCTCCTGAAGCATTCTTTTCAATAGCATTCAGTTTTTCCTGGCGTTTTCATTTACCGTTGATACCTCACTTCCATAACAGTATACTTAACACTTCCAGTCAGTACTAGATTCTACGCATGCCTTATTTTTTTCTTGTTTCGGGTCGATATACTTTTATTCCACCATATTGGGTCGAACTTTGGGTCGGGCTATTTCTAATTGCTGCAGTCACCAGTCCATTTCGATCGGAAATTGCCGTGCTGGCATTTTATGAATGCCATGCCCGGCATAAATCCACTCTGGTCCTTGCCTATTTTATTACTTATGTCTACTTTAAACTTCTTTAGCAGGATTTTCCAAACAAACGACTTAGGATGTTCAGTATCTTCAAACCTCTATAAAATTTTAGATCACGTTTAGTACTTTTCTTAAATATTGAAACTATGTATGAAGCCTTCCATTCAATTAGTATTTTTATTTGTTCACAACATTTGTTCATTCAAGTCGTTAATCTGTGGCTTAACACGTTGCCTCCGTACCTACTTAATCAGTTCACCTGGTATGCTTTAGTATCTTCAGTTATCCAGAGTTGTTGATGTACTTTTCTTTTTTTAATTTCCAGTTCACCGAAAGCCTTCGCTGCTCCTTTCTGAACCGCTTTTTTGATATTATTGTTTTCTATTTCCATACCGTTGTTCATATAGGTACAGTAGTTTGTATTTCTTCCCGTCTTGTTGTTTTAAGATGTCCAATAAATAGCAAAATATTTTTTTTATAATATTTCTTACCGCTGTTTCTTGTTGTTGGATAATCATGGAGGTGTTGATCCAGGTAATCAAAACTCCCCATGGTATTTAATTAAGTACTAACCAGTTGTTTTATTATATTCCCTTGGAAATCTCTTTTTTATTCCACCTTTTATCAAAATGTCTGCTAATTGTAGAGATTTATAAAACTGTCTAAAAATTGTCTGTTGCCAAACAGTAACCCATATCTAATAGAGATTGTAGCAATGACAAAACCACTTGAGAAGACATCGAATATCTTTATAGGTATCACTGATTAGAGTACCTTTCCCTGTATACATGATTGCTGCATATAAATAGCCTCATTTAGATTCGCATAAGAGATAGGTTTTGTTCATATTATGAAAAATATGAACAAAAAGAAAATAAATATATCTAAATCTAGCAATCTTATTGACTCTTGGGTTAGCGTATAATGAAAGATACTATTAGACAACTTACATATGGACTTTGTGGCAGACAATGACTACAAAATTACTTTTTCCAAGTTCATCGAACAAATACTCCGGTTTAATTTTTTTTGTTTAATTTTTGTTATTTTGTTTAATCTCCTTCTGATATCTTATTATTCTAATAGTCTACACAAACATCAGATTTTGGTATGTTCAACGATACTTGTAGGAATTTTGATTTCTATATAATTCATTATTATAGAGTCTACAATATAGAATGTAGGTGGTTGCTATCAAAATCAATATCAACCATTGCGTATACTATATCGCATGATAAGCACTTCATGTTTGATGTATTATGACGTTAACAACGAGTAATACGTTGATATGTGTAGAAATGGTACATTATTTCTTATGATATATTATATTCTCTAAAATATACAGTGTTCCGCTAAAAAAAAAGTACCTTTGTTTCTCAAAGACTTATTGTCTGATCTTGTTTTCTTCATTTTTCTATATTCTAACAAATTTAAAACATAAGTACGAAGGCTTTCACGGCCGGTGTGAATTAAACTAAGATTAGAACTAAAACTAGAACTAACACTAGAAACTTTCGGGTTTTGCCGAGCGTCTTTTAATAAAAGGTTTGCCGTTTCGGATGCCATGTTGCAACCTTCTTCAGAAACTGGTTCGAAGAGATTTAAAACATACTCTTAATCTTTTCTAAAATCATTCGGATATAAAATTTTGGCTAAATCACTTAATAGGAAGTGGTTCTTTATCTGACCACATACTTAGATTTTTTCGTACAAACTGGCTTATTAAATTGAGACAAATAATAAATATCATAATAAACATTCAAATATAAAATTTCAAGAAAATTACATAGTTGGATGTAGTACTTTATCTTGAAATTCAGCCGTATTTTGTCTTTTTTAAAATTTAATACTACATCATTCATTAATAAAGGTTATTTGAAGTTTTGTTGGTTACCAACGTCATATACGAATCCGAGAAAATTGTATCTAAGTCACTTCGATGAATGTTTTTGCAATTTCCAGTGCAGTTGGGACTCCCTTTTACAATGCGGTGCATGTTTTGATAATAACAGTATCGTTGAAATATACCAGTGTATTCGCCATAAGTCAATATCAGACTTCTTATAAGATCATTGTACAGATGTGTTTATTTGTTTTGACTTATCAATTTTAGCGTTTATGCCGTTTTGACTTGGCACCATCGCTGTTATTTTGTTTGTTCAGCAGAACCACATAAGAATGCGTAAAGTGGCATTTAACTTATACATTGAGGTGATGCAGCAAAATACGAAGAGATAAGCATGAATATTGCTTATTATTATTATAGACACCACGTGTTATTTACATAAAAATGATTAATCTTTTCAGTTCTGCCTAATCAAATATTTGTTACACATAGAATATTAGATAAATTAAAACCAAAAGTTGAAAATAATGTGGCGTATACGCAGACTTTTCGGGGCAATGCATTTGATGGAATCGATATTGCGCAATAATTTTCGGTGTTATCTATGTTTCCCTTTTGTAGATGGCTATCACTCCAGCAATATTTACCGTTGGGTTTATTTGCTTTAAAATTTTTTTTAATAAATAAATATTGCGTTAAGGCATCTTCTTCGAGACGCGTTTGCTTAAATGTCTGTTTGTGAAGCGGTGAACAAATAAACAAATTTGTGATGGCCACTCATGTTTAACGATAAAACCAGATGCATTGATGAACCACACATGATTAATTTTTTTCCGTCGTCGTATGGAATGAAGTGTTTGGATAGTGAGATGTACAGTATGAATAATAAAAGGTTTTTATGATTCCTCGTAGCAACTTCGTTAATGTTCATCTTTTACTTTATGGTGAAAAAAGTACTAAGTGATATAGTATTGCCCGTAAACAAATGTTATAGAAATAAGAGAATAGAATATTTTCAGTCTTAACAAAAATTACCAGAAAGCTTTCGAGCACAACTTGTTGCTTGAGCAGAAAGATGCTGCAATGATGAGGAAAGAAACATAATGAGAGACGCGTCTGAAATAATATGGGAGATTAACGGAAGAATAATAAAGAAACCGAAATGGGAATAAAAGCTACAAATATATCAGTCAAACATAAGGCAGGATTAATAAAGCAGATCGAAGATAAAAAAATAACAGAAACATACATGCAATATGATGTATTAAGATAAATGTTATACAGATAGATAACGAAAAGAAAGCTTAACAAGGAGAAATGAAAGCTGGAAGAAGGAGGAAGATAGATTGATGAAAGCAGCAAGACGGAGAAGTTAATTAAAGCAAGTAAACATTTGGGATAATACCAAAACCAGATTAACATAAAGACCAGATAGAAGGTTGACAGAACATGACAGGATGAAAAGAACCGTTATTGAAAAAAGAGAGTAGATCTAAAAAATAACTAAATGATACTAACAAGAAAGCAGAAAATATAAACGACGAAAAGGCCAACAATCTAGCAACGTCTTCTATACATGTTCGTTTGTCCCAGATATATACAGTTCTAACCAATTCTCTCCGTCCACTTAGTCTAATGTTTATAAACTTCATCGTGTTTATGTTTACGCTCAAGAAGTAACCTGGATTCAAAATTATAACTACTTTCAGCATATTTAAAAATTAAATTAAAAAATTCTGAAACAATTTACAAACGTTAACTTGTATACTAGTATTTGTTATTTACTACTGGACACAGATTGAAACACGTGATGTTCTATTCAGAGAAAACGCAGCGAGCAGCGTTGTCAAATCGTTGGATAGATCTGTTATTTTTGTCAAAATGGTCAAAAACAAGTTGAATGATCTGAAAAGAAGTTTATAAGTATACAAAATGATTCCCAAATGGAATAAAAGCAATTAAAAAAAAATTATAGTGGAACTTAATAAAAAAATTGAAAACCAACAATAATTTTGCGGTATTTTAATTATAAGGTTAGGATTGAGGATACATGTTTAGATTGATGATGAAAAAAATGTTCAAAATTGTTTATCCTTTGAGTGAATCGGTTTATAACGAGATTAAGTTATGTAGAATACTTAGATTGGGACATTTCTAGATTTCTTATGCGGTAGGGTTGAGATATATTCCGATCAAGGATAAAGTTGCATTTAAACCTTTTTCAAATGATGCAATTTACAGTATGCAAAATAATCTGATCAAAATGAAGCATTTTGCTTGTAATATTGGGTTATGACATGACATTCTTGAACTGACGATAAGGTTTAGTTCGGGCATCGAGCTACGGTTGAAACGATTCTTTTTGAAATAAGAAAATTACGAAAGCTGCATTAATTTATTGTACATTTACTAATTTACGATGATGACAGCTTTAAACATTCTGAATTTTGAATAAGATTGCATTATATGGAAGAATCAGACAGATTTTAGGCATCCCGGGTTATTAATATATAAATTCGATTTAGTAAGATCGAACTTATCTGTCGATTTTAACTGTTCTGGTTGAATTACGATGTTCTTTGATTAAAAGTGAGGTTCGATTAGGATATTTATGTGTTAAGAATAAGGTTGGGTTGGGTTGCATTTGCAAAGTAATATTTTGCAGAATTAAATAGGATTAAGTATGAGATGAAGCCGAGAATATCTGTCAACCGGTTCTCAACCCAACCGCCAGAAGAACCAAATCGGGTTCTAAAAATATATCTATTACTCTTTTATTTATGTCTGGAGGTAAACTGCTTAATGTCGGCACAATCAGATAAATCAAAAGAGACCTATGAGAAGATTTACTTCTCTTAGAAGATACTTCAAAATTCGTTTTACTTTTACCAGTAATACTAGAAACTTTCCGCTTTTGCCGTGCGTCTTTTAAGAAAAGATTTGTCACTTCGAACCAGTTTCTGAAGAAGATTGCAACATGGCATGCGAAGCGTCAAACCTTGAGTAGGTGTTGGCTTATTGAATTTGAAGGGACATCCGTGCCTAACAACCTCAAGTTATGCTAAAATCGTTTTGTTTAAAAAATCGTTTGGCACAAACCCTAAGATGCATCGCGACATCTATAGAAAGGATGGAATATCTAATTCACGTATTAAATGAAGACTGGTGTCTTTATAATATCAAGCAATCAGTAGGGTATTATAAGGAAATCGACAATATGAGAAATACGAAAAGAGATGAATAAACACAAGCAACTATGCCAGACCGGAGAAAGTACTTAATTTCAATCAAAATCAGACTTGTTCATTTTCTTTTCAGTGTTTTCATTGGACATATTTTTTTTGTATAGCCTCTGCTGGTTTTATTTTCATGCTTTTTACTGATTTTTCAACTAATCACTTCATGTTTGGTACTGGGCGTAAAGAATAACAACATTATTTTAGATGTTTGAAGTGATGCCTTGATTAATGGTTGTACCGTAATTACACTGTTGATTGCTTAAACGCCCTTAAAAAGAGTGATCTGTTACTATTTTTGATTTTTGTTTATTATTATTTCTTGTCTTCCTATTAATTAGTTGCCACATTTTCTTTTATTTATTTTATGGTCTCATGGTATCAATTTAGAATTTCATTTCGCAACATCCCATCCAAAAATAACCCAAGGGAAATATTCAGAAAAAAATTTAATTGTACCAATTTGTTTTTTTTTATACTTATTTGTTTTATTTTTTTTTTCAGATTAATATCAACCCCTTCATCATCAAGCCCAGAACCAACACCGCCTAACATTTCCACTCAACCAAATAAAACGACAAATTTCACAAAGAAAAAACGTAAAAAGAAAGGATTATTTTTCGATCCAGAATCAGGACGACGAAGAAGTTATCTTTCGTTGAAAGATTTAATTTCTCCAGCGGAAGAAAAAATGTTAATGGTGCTTTGTGCGAAAGGTTCCTCATCATCAGATTCTGGTGCAAAAACCGTCGATGATACAAACGAAAATTACGAAGATTATTCGGATTTACTCAGAGCCGAGCACCAAATACCCAGGTCAAAGTTCACGGCTATTTGGGTTGAATCTTGTAATGGTAATGAATGAACCAAAATGGGATGATAAATGTCTCGACAAAGACTATTATGTAGGGCTAGTCAAAACATTTTTTTTTTAATTTGAAAAAAAAAAACTTGTACAACGACGGCTGTGTTCAATAGAAGAATTTATAATCTTGATATGTATATTTTTTAAGATGATCTGATTAATTAGTTTTTATTTCGTTACTTGTTAGGACTTTTATGGAAAAATGACAATATTGTTAAATCAACACAAAATAATTAAAATAAAAACTATTTTATACGGATAACAAGTGAGTTTTTTGTTTTTTGTGTGTTTTTTGTGTGTTTTTTGTGTGAAACTCTAATCAAATTAAAACTGTCCACTTTTAATCCTCATCTAATCTCAAAATACTTTCTTTTCTTTAATTCTAACTAAATTGGATTATTTATAAATCTAATCATGACAAATTTGTTTTAAATTATTCATACTTATTTTTAAATTAAATTGCTTCAATTTATAACATTTTTATCGAAACATTTTTACGTAAGAAAAACAACTTCTTTGATATTACTATCTTAACCGATTAACCAATCGTAATTAATGTATTTTGGTCTTTATAACTCATAGGTCTCGGTCAATTACAGATCTCCTCCACTACAAGTTTAAAACGACAAGCAACAGTAATAACGTTTTGTCGTAATCGTCTCAGAAACGCCGTCTTGTAGCGGTTGCTCATTCGGTTGTTGCACTCTCAGTTAGGTTTTCGTCATCATTTACAAATCGTGCAATAACACGGTAAATAGCAAAGTTCATCATGGATACCATGAAAAGATCTCGTTACTTATTAGTTGCAATCGTTGTATACGGTTTCTTCATCATTAACGGTGTTAAAGGTGGCGATTATTACACACCGATAGTTCTTTGGCATGGCATGGGTAAGTTAGCTAACAATTTTTATTTAAAAAATTAAAAAGTAAAACTGTCTCATGAGAAAAATGATGAGAACATACTGAATTAGTAAGAATATGGTCATGAATAGTGAAAGAATGTACTCTTATTGTTAATTGTTTGCGGTTCTTATACGCGAAGTTTATCCTTGAGATTTCATTTAGAAGGTTGTTTGATAAGAAAGTCGTTGATTCAGATTATTGTTTGTTTATGAAGATACGACATATTTTAAAGCGGTTATGAATCGTAAAATGATTCATTTAATCAAAGAAATATGACTCAATTTATTTTCTGTTTTTTTTGTTGTATTTATAGATTTAACGACCGATGTTTAAATGAAGTTAAAACTGAAACTCTACACTAATATAAGATTATTAATAATGAATCATAACTAGTATCTGATTATTTATATAAAACTTTGTATTTTGGGATTATAAACAATTAATCATACGATTGATAAAATATTTTTGTGAGGAAAATTGAAATGCAAAGATTACAGCTTTTTAAGTTGTGTAAGAATTATTATATAAACAAAATTGTTGATTAAAGGTGTAAATCCATTACTAATTCGAAGTCATAATACCTCGATTTAATTTATTTTTGATAAAAATGTAACAAACAATTTAAGTCAATTAATTTTAAACATTTCATATGAAAAAAAACATAAAGTTGGAACTAACGATGTTTTTTACCATTAATTAATTTTGTAATAGATATTTAGGTCTCAAGGTGTTAAACCATAAAAATCTCAAGTATTAATATGGCATAAAGGTATTCCGATTCCACGGTGAAAGAGAAAGGTAACAACTTATTTTTGGTGATTTAATTTTATTTTAGAATTTATTCGAATAGTTTGAGATTAATTTTGCTTAATTAGAATGGATATTCTTCATTTTTAATTAATTTATTTAATAGTGAAAAATTACGTGAAGAATTTAACGAAGAAAGAAGTTGTTTCAACATTGGGTTTTGTAATATTCTGTTATACAGTGTGTTAATTAATTATCGTACCCGACGTCATCATTGCAAGTATGCAACCAACACCACAGTGCAATACGCATGATACGCAAATCGCGTATTGCAATAAAAATACTGTGATATTGGTTGCATACTTGCAATGATGACGTCAGGTACGATAATTAATTAACACACTGTATTTCGAATATGATCGAATATGTTGAATGTATTACAGAATGAAGGGCAATGGGATAAATAATAGAACGACAAGAAAAATAGGAAGTATAAAAATAAAATGAAGTTTGAAAAACAGTTAGTTGTTAAAAGATCAATAAAAAGCAATAACAACGGCGGTACCTAAATGATAAGGTTAACATAATTAAAATTCACTAATTTAAAGCTAATAGCAGGTTGCCACAATAACAATACCAATGGTTTCCAGATAATAGTAATCTTGTAGTAAATCAGTTTCAGTCACAATTGCAGTACTGGCGATGAATTTTGTTGCATTACTTCTTTGCAATTAATGTTAACATTGATTCTTTACGAATGATCAAGAATTTAAAGTCCACTGCGTGAAACTTCTATGTATCCATCTCGTCGCTTGTTAGGTTAAAAATATTTTGTATTTTCATTTTTTCTATAAACAAAATCTTATATCAGTTAGATGATGCCTGTCCGATGAAGGTTTACATCTCTGGTAGATATAATCTATAGTTGAGCGACCTTGTCTAAATCCACTTTGACATTTTTTTAGAGTGCATTCATAGAAAGGTTCAAGCCGTTGGTATATTATGATATAGCATTTTGTAGGTGGTGTTTAGTAGACCCTTTTTTTAGATGAGCTGAATGACACCTACCTTTCAATCTTCTGGACATTTTTCATTTCTCCTTATTTTCTGTATTAATTGATATATGCACCTCCACATGTTTCTCTCCTGATGTTTCTAATCGTAGGTGTTTTTTTAAGTTCTTTATTGTTTCTTCGATTGTCGGTTGCGGTAGTAACAGAACATTCTTTTGTGGTCTTCGTATTTTGTTCGTCCTCACTATCTCCTTCTATGTTATAATATCTGATGTTAAACATTTCTCGAAGTACAAATTTCTTTTATCCCCTCCTCACTATGTTTGGTTGATAGCTTTTTGTGAGTTCTTTAGTCGCCTTCTAAAATTTTCTATTTTTTATTCGCTGTTATATTCAGTTCTATTTTCTGTTAATGGTTTTTTCTTTTATTTCTACGGCAGATTCTATTGGTTTCCTTTCGATATTCTTCTTACTCAGCTCTGTCGTACAATCTTGTGTTGTACGCATTTTTTCTTGCAGTATTTTTTAATTTTTATTTCATTTAGAGATTGTATCATTAAAAAGCCTAATATCGGTTTTTTAATTTTGTTAGGCACTATAATCTCTCTGACCATTGTGTATCCAGAAGGAAGTTCTCTTTATCAACGTCAGGGTCCCAAAGCTCCTAGGAGAAATCCGTTCAATTTGAATCATTTAGTAGTTTCAATTCACGATTTGTACCATCGAAACAAATCCAAGATGATTCGTGCACTGAGTCAATTATGAAGCATGGTAGTTTTTATGATTGACTATCTGGTTGTATATCATGCTTTCAAATAGCTTTGCTAAGATTGTAAGAACATTAATAAATCTGGGAGCAATTATCCCAACCTTCAATAAGTGTGGAAAAATTGCCAAGGGTTTCATTTCGTGTCGCTCGTTATAAGCAACTGAAGTATTTAATCGTATGATGCATAAGATATTGTTTTGTATAAAGATTAATCTTATTGATATTAGAATTAACGTTTCTGCAGTGAAAGTCTTAATATTAACGCTAACTATATTTTGTCTCATTTAACCTATTTTTCAACTATAAAGATTGTTTACAACTCCAAATGTAAAGTTTGGTGCAAATTTATATACATAAAAAATTAAGAAAAATTATATTTGACTAATTTCGCAATATTTCTCATCCTGGTTTTCGTTCAACCCTTCATAGCTGTTTCAAAAACCCGTTTCTATTGGCCTCACATGATCAAAAATGTAAATTTGTGAACAAAAACTTGCTTGCATTGCCAACGGGTAAAAGTTCATAAATATACCAAACTTCCTCTTCAGAAAATTCCTATTCCGAGAGGCAGATTTGAACACATTCACCTAGACATAGTAGGCCCTGTAGTACCTTCACTAACCTGTACATGCTCACAGTGATGGAACATTTTACGCGTTGGCCTGAAGATTTTCCTCTCAAAGACATTTCCACTTTTGCTATCGGTCACACACTTCTACGTAACGAATATTCCAGGGAAGACAATTTTCAATCCAAACTTTTTCGGCAATTCAATAATTATCTAGGGACCAACCAAATTCGTGCTTTCTTTTACCACCCCCAAAGTAATGGTATGTTGGAGATATTTCATAGAATTTTCGAAACCATTCCTGCACGCGGAGCTGGCAATAGATGGAATAACGATCTTTCCATTATTCTTTTAGGGATTCGGTGCTCTTCAAAAGAAGATTTTGGTTGCTCTGCTGCAGAGCTATAGCATGGCCAGCCGCTTAGAAGTTCTTTATTAATCTTGTCAAAAGAACTTTTCTAGAGACTTCATTTAGCAAATATTTTACGGTGCTGAATAGGACTTTTTTCAGTGATTTATTCATTATGCACAATAACAGAATATTACTTAGGTTTTCCATCCGTTAAAATTGTATAGTTGAGTATTAGTATTGATATCGTTCGGGTTTCACTTTTATTTTAATAAGATAATAACACAACTTATTTACAAAAGTACAAGTGAAGCTATTGCACTCCTTCGATCTGTACTCGTTGGTTTTCAATGCATGTGCGAAGTTTTTTCACCATACAAGCCATAGCTCATCTAGCTCATCCATACCACATTTCCAGGCAGACATCTGCTGTTTTAGCTCATTAAGTCTTGTAGCATACACGCGAATGGTGAAAGCATTCTCCATAGGTAGAAATCATAAGGTGGTCGTGCTTGTCAAGACAAAGGTCAAACCATTATTTCCAACCTACACTACTCCAAATTCTTTGGTATAGAAAATGTTGCATATAGTTGCAATTACGAATCAAACCTCATACTCCAATCCTAAATTCAGTTTAGTTCGTAGTAAATTTCTTTATGTTCCTTATTGTTAGTGCAAAAACCAACTCCTTTTCTTTTGAACATTGACAAACTTCGTCATGTTCAACTTGCATAAATTATTACTTGAGTATTAAATTTGGAAATTTTAAATGTTTCGAGGGATCTAAACTCAACATCTATGTTTTTAAAACATAATTAACCTCTATACGTAAGTGTCTAATTCTTTGTTGTAACCACTCTCATTGGGTCCGTTGTTTTGTAGCGTGCCCTGAAGAAGATTTAGAAATTAAATCGAAATCTTGGCTCAGAAAAAGGAGGTCTTTTAATTGAACCCCCCTCTGTTGGTTGTAAATCCAATAATTCCTTACTCTTAACAAGTGCAACCAGTACTTCCTCCCAACTTTATTTACACAGTTTTGGCGAGTTATGGAACTTTTTGATACCATTGAAGATAAGTACATCACCGCGTAGGGTAAACGCACTAGTGTTTGACCTGTTAAGGATTTTTTAATGTCAGTATTTGATCGAGTCATATTATTTTTCTTGTAGATACCTCTGCCTTTACATAAAATGATCTAAATATGATCAAATACACATCTGATTCATTTAAGGTTACTTACCCTACTTATAAAATATAACATCATAAAGTAATATTTTTTTAAAATTATAAAGGGAAACTGTATTTCGCATTTAGTGTTTCACCACTTTGATTACATTATTTGACCAATAATATCTAGTTTTTGTTCTATATCTAGTCTAGTTTTAATACCTTAAAACCGTAAATGTTTGACCGATTCTTAATATAATATTCATTTTCATTATTTTTCCATACTATTTTGTTCACAAAAATATGTTTATATTTTTTGACTCTTTAAATGGAGCAAAATGTTCTTGACTTAACTTTTCACCCAAATTTTGTGTTTTCCAACTGGGTTTTTGTAACAGGAATGCCGAATGAAACAACCATTCAACCAAGAAAAACTACTGGTTGAATACCAGTAGTTTTTCTTCATCAGAATTTAAAAATGCTGGTGGGCCCATTTTCCTCTGCATTGGTGTTTTTCCTTTTTCTTTATAAATAAGAATTGACTTTGGTACATTAAACATCTTGGCTGCTTTTTCATAAGATAAACCCCTACTTCTTGCATCGAGAGCCTTTTGAAGATCTTCTTCACTATATTTAAACTTAGGCTTCGTTGTCATATTGGTACTGGAAAAGTTAACCTGATTCATATTTGCTAAATTTTCCATATAGATTTTCCATTTTTTGATAGTAATTGACCACTATAAGAGTCAGTGTTTGACCAACCTTTTATCCTCCAATTTTACAGATTGATTACTGCTTAATTTTTAAGATTCAATTACTTTTATTGTTATAAAAAAGGTTTACAAAAATAAAAAAGAACCAAACATTTACACTTTTTATATTTTTTATTAGGCTTAACTATTTATAAAATTTAAAATCGGTTAAAAAACTCAGTGTTTGACCTGTTTGTGTCCTATCAATGACCAAGAAAAGAATCAGTATTTAACCGCATATTTAAACTGATTGTATCTTATTTTTAAAGTATAAAAGTTTTGGTCAAATACTAAACAATTTAAACGGAAAGATATAAGTTTTAAAAATATGTATTACACATTTTTCCATTTTATTAATTAAATATATATACTTGTGACATTATACAACAACCAATACATCTAGTATTTGACCGTTTGGTCAAACACTAATTTTTAATTCAATTTAGAACTACTAGTCTTTGACCGCCTTTATTTTCACAAATAATTAATTAAAGCGGTAATTTTTTAATGTAACCAATAGAAAACATTATTAGATTACTGGCAAAAAAAAGAAACACTATACATGCAAAAACGGCTGAATAGTACTACCTTGTTTGGGCGAATTTCTAAACATAAAAATTACCCTTTTTAGCACGATGTGAATAGGTCGGCAATTAGCGCAAATTAAACAACAAGAATTCAAGAACGGTATGGTCGTAGACTTTTTGCGTAATAGGGAGTGGAGAAGAGACAGGTTGCTATTTATGGACAGATTTATTTTTTTTTTAGGTTTCCTTGGATCCTTATTTTTTTCATTTTTTTACAAAAACGGTCAAACACTGACCAATGGTCAATTACTGGCGTTTTAACTTATAAAATATCCATATTTTGTTCTCGTAATGTGAGCAACATGTTAAAGTTCGATATTTTCAAGATTTTAACACAGACTTATTCTGTTCTTAGCATGCGTTCAGAAGATGTAAATTCAATTTTCTCTAATCGGCGGTAATTATTTTTGCAATATTTACTTGCTTGCCTGAAGCACAACATCGATACCAAATCGATGCAAAATCTGAACAGATTTTAAGAATGTGTGATATTTACTAACAGCATTGTAATGTAAATAATTTTTCAGTACTGTATAATACGTTTACTTCCCGGTTAAGGAGGGAAATGCATGAATTGTAGTGATGAAGACGAAGTCGATTGCGGTCAAGGTGATACATCGACAGTATCGATACAGAACCTGAACAGTTATCAAGGATATTTTTTTGACTACATTCTAATATAAATAATTTTTTAATTAAAGTGTGATATATTTACAACTGAGTCTTAACTTTACTTTTAAGTAACATCTTTTTTAAAAATTAAAAATGTATATCAATAAAAAAAAAAACATGGTACAGCATACCTATTGATTTTACTTATAAATGACCGTAACCTACTCGAAACAATTTATGTTATGTCATCGTAGTTGATATAAAACACAGGAAGTTGATCAAATAATCAACCAATTCAAATTATACCCATTCCGAATCGATACAAAAATAGATTGTATTTTAAACTCGTTTAGAATGCATGTTCGATAATGACTGTCCTAGTTTCACACTAGAACATGAACCTGAAAACTTTCTTTCCTTTACGTTATCCTAGTTTCAACCTTAATAATTAAATAATTAACCGAATTGTGTAAAAGAAGAAAATGATTCAATGACATTTTTAATAACCCCACGTTTCTTATTGTAACATTTTCTATTTTTTTTCAAGGTGATAGCTGTTGCTTTCCATTCAGTCTTGGAAGCATCGTTAAAGGAATAAAAGAAGCTTTACCAGGAGTTTATGTTACATCATTAAAGATTGGGTCATCAATTCCAACGGATGTTGAAAACGGATTTTTTATGCATCCTAACAAACAAATTGATTACGCGTGTAAATTAATCAACAGCGATCCAAACTTACAAAATGGTTATCATGCTGTTGGATTTTCTCAAGGCTCACAATTTTTGTAAACAAAAAATTCATTTAAATTCCTTTATTTGATTATTTTTTAAAATTTTTTTAGACGAGCTTTAATTCAAAGATGTAAAGGACCTAAAGTGGGAAATTTAATTTCTTTAGGAGGCCAACATCAAGGTGTTTATGGATTACCAAATTGTCCGTCAGTTTCTTATCAAACTTGTGATTATATGAGGAGATTGTTAAACCATGCTGCTTATTTCAAGTTAGTTTATTGTTTATTTATGTTTTTTATTATACATATTCTTTTAGTTGGGTTCAAAATTATTTAGTCCAAGCAACTTATTGGCACGATCCTCTTCATGAATCCGATTACGTTAAATACAGCACATTTTTAGCGGATATCAACAACGAACGTTATATAAATAAAACGTATCGAGAACGTTTGTCGCAAATTGAGAACTTCGTTATGGTTAAATTTGAAAAAGATAGTATGGTACAACCGATTGCTTCGGAATGGTTTGGATTTTATAAAGCGGGTCAATCTAAAGAGATCGTTCCTTTAAATGAATCCAAAATTTACACAGAAGTAAAAATAATACAAAAAATTAAAATGATGTAATAAGTGATATATTTTTGGGTAATTTCAGGATCGATTGGGCTTAAAAGAATTGGATGAACGAGGAAGGTTACATTTTCTATCAGTTGATGGTAACCATTTACAATTTAATTGGACGTGGTTTCAAGACGAAATTATAAAAAAATATTTATCTTGAAGAAAAATTTTGTGATAATATTAACTGTTTTTTATAATTATTTACAATTTAAATTTAGTTAACATTTAGTTCGAACAATAAGTAAATATAGATTTATTAAAAATAAAATTTTATTTCATGTAACATCTAAAAGGTTAACTGTAATAGATTGAAAAAAGCTCGTTTGTATGAATCTCTGTGTATGTGCATTTTGTATCGGCTGTTGAGAGAGTTCTGTTACTCTATATAGTCTATATAGAGAGGAGTAGAGTTAGTAGTTGGGGAACGCTTTCGCGTTCATCCGATCATATTTGCCTTTCAGTTCTGGGCCGCTTTATGTTTCTGTGAAATTTTTCAATCAGCGTTGTCATCCATTAGTTATATTATGCCGGGCCAGCAGCTTGTTTAGCTAATGCGTTCCGTTCGAATGAATGGTAGAAGAAGGAGGATGCGCGGAGGAGGACGCATCATCATTTTTTTTTGTTGCTGTTGTTGGGGCGTCGACGTCGGCGTCGGCCGCTCATAACGACGTTGTTGTTCGCGAACCTCCTCCTTCTCTTCCCAAGCTAAAATAAGGGCGCGTTTTGCCTGCCTTAATCAGACTAGTTTATAAAAGCGAGACTAGACGCAGAAACAAAGGGTTGGATGTAAAGAAATTTTTTTCATTCGTTCTTTTATTAAAAAAGAAAATGTTTAAGAATATCTTATTTACTTTATATAACTTAGTTATAAATTGATCCTAAGTAAAATTAAGCGGAAAGTTATTAGTATTCAGTAGAGCACCGCTCCATACCTATATACAAATTTGCGTTTCCACACATACATAGAAAGGGTTTCCAGTGCAAGCGAGGCAAGATCCGTTTCCCTGTGTGTACGCGAGCCCCGGCCCCAACGCCGATGATGTTTAATTAATCAACTCGCCAGGCTGCTTTGCTTGGTTTATTAACAGCATTGATCATTGGAGTATTCACGAAGCCGACCGCAGACGAGATCAAAACCTGCGTGCTTTTCTCTAAAGCGTCCGCCCAGTCGCCGTTTACCACTGTGATATCTGCACTCACTGCTTTTCGAATTCAACCCCTTTACGAGTTTTAACTCAACCCTTTTGTTTTTTCGTATTCAATTACAAAAACTGTAAAATATAAATATGCTTATTAAATGTGTCATTTATTTTCTGGAAAAAGATACTTTTAGCTTTAAACATATGAAAATCTACTCAACCTGTTAGTTTTTTATGTAATAAATAAAAATTAAAACTTTTGATTTAAATTAAGCTTCGACATTGACTTATATAAATATGTCTAAAAATATATCACTCTCTAATACTATTTCTTTGATTCACGTGTCTACTAAAGAGTGAAGCGAGCTGGAATGATTTAAGGCTTTACAAGATAATGAAAGAATTAGAAAACTTTGTTTATGAAGTCCCAGAGGAAATAACAATATTCCCACCTGAAAATGCTAACGGAGAGGTTACTGGCGAGGATTGGGGAGAAGAGGGTGCTGGGGAAATTCCAAAGATATAAAAGGCACTTTAGTATGTGAAGCAATGTCGGGAAGCAGATTTATCTTCATAATGCAGAATTTACATTGTTGTGGAAATCGCAACTTCGACCAAAATGATATTCACAAAAATTCGACCCCTTATTGAAGGTTTAAATAAAAAAAAACATGGATATGGCTTCACTTGATGAAGCTCACAGCTTTAACGAATTCATGGTGCCATATTTTGGTGGTCATGAAATTAAACAATTTATAAAAGACAAACTATATATGGATATGTAGAGAGGTTTGAGACCTATCAGGATTCAACTACCATTATATTTGGACTTGTGACAAGTGTTATTCTGCAATGCCTTCAGAAAATATATTCGGGGGTTCATTTTCACCTTTACTTCGACAATTATTTAATTTCGATTCCCTTATTACAAGAATTAAAGTTTATGGATACAACCTACTGGATAAGAAAGAATCGGGTAGGAAAAATTGTCTTTTGTCTTACCCTTCCAGTCTAAAGGCAAGAAAGCGTGCAATTTTTAAATAGGCTATTTGTGGTAATTAAAAAGCTTATTAAGGATTCTAACTAATCAAAAATTTAATATGACTAACAAATAAAAATTTGTAGTTTCTGTTCAAACCAAAAAACTTACCTGTTATAATAGCCGATCAACACTGGTATGATGAGAATCGAAATGTGTACATTTTATGAGTACATTGAGCGGAAACGACAGTAATACTACACACATTTTTTCCATAAATAAATTACCTATATTCATATTTATTAATATGGTATTAATATCTGCCATAGCTATTCATATGACAGTTATGAGATTGTTACTGGCAAGATTTTTAATATCATTCAAATAATTTAATAAATACCGTTGCAATTATCCAGCAAGAATTTTGTAATAATAGCTCCATAAAATGAATTGTAGAAAAAATTATCTTTTATTTGAACACGGAGTTGATAAAAGGCGAGGAAATGGTATTGTCAGTTGTAGAAATAATGCTGGATATTGTTACAGAGGTTCCTTATTCTTCAAGTACATATTTATTGAAACCAAGTTGCTTCTTTCAGTAATAACTCTTGGAGTTACCATTACACCAATTTTATTAGTACCCCATACGCGACTATGTTGAAAATTATATCTCTTTTTTTCTTTCTCCTGTCCTCATTTTACCTCATGGTGTTGGATCCATTTCCTGTATGTGTTCGTATCTGTAACATTTTTTGTACTTCGGCGACACTTTTCCCTCTTTTTAACACTACTTCTTGTTACTTCTTCCCACTGGATTTTTGGTCTACCCTGCCTTCGTCTTCTTTCTGGTTTTATATTGTACATATTCTTTTGTATTCCTTCCTTCTTTACTAGCTTAATTCTTCTCTGACTCTCTTGTGTCGTACTCTATTTCTTCTGGTTTTTCTACTATCCTTTCGCAAATACTTCATCTAACTACTGCCGTTATTTTTGATTTGTATATGTTCAATATTTCTTTCTGTTTATCATCATTGCCTTTTCTTGTAGGCAGATTTTCGATATTTGGATGTTTCTATGTAGGCAATCTTGGGATATTATTTCAGTATTCCAAGCCTACAGGAATATTTCTTTCAGCCATCGTTTCGCTGTCGGTCCCTCTTTTTTTAGTAGTTTCGGTACTATGTTATCTTCTCTGTTGCTTTTCCATTTCGAGTTTCCTTTAGGACCCCTTGCACTTTTTCCACGCTTAACTTGCCCGCCGTCATTTCCCTTTCTTCTTCTCCGTTTCTATCCGTTCTTGAGTTTCTTCTTCTTCCTTATCAAGTAATCAAAAAATACTTTTATAATGAGCGATATAGGATATTTTATTTAAATACTATTGAATAGAATCAAAATCCTTTATTTTATACTTTTTAAAATTCCATCACGTGAAGTTGATTTTTTTAAAGTAAACGAGTTTCATTCAACATTTTTGATTGTTTCTCTGCTCTCTTGTTCACTCTACAAATCTTTTAAATATTGATAGCTGATATCGTTTAAATTATGGTTTTGTTATAGATTGCATTACACATGAATACATGTACTATTTTAAGTGTCAATTGATTGACTATGAAAAATGTTGTATATAATTAAGTCATGATCTTTTGGACTCACCTACTCTGCATAGAAAAAATATCCTGAAAGTTTGAAGATATTGTTTGCTATTATTTAGTATGCTTGCAGATGGGATCTGATATAAGATTTTAAGATAACCGAACCCTAACATGAATAAACGAATAACCCTCGTATGAAGATAATTATAGCTATACTTAGCTTATACTATGATATACTTAATAGCAAGAATATTTACTCCTATGCCGGTAACAAATCTTCAAAGAAACCAAAACCCGTATAACACAACATATAAATTATTCTGATTCACAAATCTAGCAAAATTAAAACTTCCAGCGATTATATTTCAATTTAACATCTTAATAATGACAATAACGTTTTAACTCGTGCAGTCTTCACAAAACAACTGCGCAGGATAAAACAACACGATTAATATTACGAAATCTTAGACTGTGGTAATCGCATAATAATAAGTACTCCGAAATTAATAATTAAGTGATATATCCTATAGATCTATTACAAATATGTTGGACGTAAACCTATAAGCCTTAAATAACATCGGCGGCCTATGAGTAACAAAAAAATATTTATACTATATTATGAACGTGTTTGACTTTTCAGAAAGTTCAGAATCTGGATAAATAGGGAGGCGTAATGCACGGCGATATGAATTCACAACATGACAAAGCTCTTAATAGTCAACCCTCAGAGTTGCTTCCTCTTTGTGCCACTGTGCGTATTCACTTTTCGCTAACTCTTAAGTAAAGTAGCATTGACGGTTACGCACCATGATATATCCGTATTACATTTCGCGGTCCATTTACACTCATTTCTGGGAGCTCATCAATTCTTGGGAGTGGTTTAGGCTAAATAATGAACTTTTAGGTGAATTATTTTGTGTCTCTACCTATCAAGTTATAAGTATTTCCCAAAATCGCAAAAATTGCCATATACGTCTAAAATCTAGAGTTGTTGCTGTTGTAGTGATTCCTAATATTTGCTTATCGATAACAAAGGAATTTTCATTGTGGTCAACACCATCATTGCATAGGGTGCTTGACGTTAAAACAAGGATTTAGGATTTAATCTATCAAATTCATCATAAGTGTTTTGTTTCCTTGCAGCTTCTATTGCAGTTTGCATGCTCATTTGGACCTTGTGTTTCAACTTTTAATGTATAATAATTCTATAATAATGTTTATTAATCGGATAAGATATATGTACAAATAGAAAAAATAATAATAAAATTATAAAAAGGCAATTCCGATTAAAGAGGGTCAGGTCGACCAAGTGACCAAGGCTCTTTTGTCGCACTGTTTTTCAATGACCCTCAGCAAAATAATAAGACAAAAATTGAAAAATAAAATAATTGCAATGAACTCAAGCCGATTATAAGAGCAAAAAAAATTAACAAACTTAAAACACACAATAAGAAGCATACTTAC